TTCAAGAGCGCTCCAGGCCGGCTGCCAGTGATGGCGGCCAGTTGACAGTACAGGAGGAGCTGCACCCGGTACCAGCCACAAGGGAAAGTCATCTCCGTCGTAGACAGTACCACTCGAGCAAACTCGGCCACATCTTCAATATACATGGTCGCTTTCGGTCGCCGATCGAAGCATAGATTTTTCTCAGTAGCAACTATCGCAAGCACCTATGGGCTGTCAGCCATAAACAGACCAGTCTGACAGATTAGCGGACCAACAGACTCACATCCTCGATTTTGACGATCGTATCTTTACTAAGTCCACGTCCGACTTCAGCCTTGTAGACCAGATGCCACCATTTCCAGAATGTCTCCAGCGAGCTTTTATACTTCAGTCCCGGCGTGTGTCGCCCGTTCTGCCCCCTCCGCTGATCACAGCGCCAGGAAAAGAGAGCTTTCAAAAAACGGATCGTCTCCTCTGTGTCAGAGAGCCAGAAGAAACATTCCACCGGGTCCCGCTTTCCGCCCTCACAAAACCTGGAATAATTAGCCAAATGCAATTGGAGAAACCATGGGGGTGGCACGCTCTCACCTGTCCCAATAGTCCCGCGTCTCATCCAGTTTGTCTTGGGTTCTTGGGCTGTAGCGTTTTTGCCGAAGCTGGGAGACATCGAGACACTCTGCCTCCTGGAGATAGTGCTCCGGTGGAAGCTGCTTCTCTTCGTCTTCCATGGGGAATTCATCCTCCGACTCCGATTCATCCTCGTCATCACAATATGTGGTGACCGAATCGGTTTCTGAGGCTTCGTTCGAGAAGATCTCAGGCAGTTCTGAGCTCGCGTCGCTCTCATCGTCTGACAAATTAGGACGTGGAAGGCAAGGCATGATATGGGAGCAGTGTCCGGCAGGGAATAGGGAACTGATCAAGAGTGTATAGAATCCACTCGAAACACCAGGGTTCTGCCGGAGAAACAGATTGGATGATGAGAAGATCGCTGGCGAGCGGGAAGAATGAAAATTCGGGAGTCATGGCGGTCGGTATTTATGGAATCTAGGGAATAAAGGTGCTCAAAAGGTGCTGAAAGGGGAGACAGAATGGCTCCTTCTTTCCGGACCTGGTTGGAACGGGCTCGCAGCGGCAGTATCACGAGTGGGACCAGGAACGGGCGGCGCTCCAGTGAGGTCGCTGCGGGGCTAGGCGCCATGCAACGGCCAAAATGAGAGTGAAAGTGGCAGTAGGTCACATTGGCTGTGTCCTTAGATACACGTGACGCCAAGACCGTCGCCGGTGAATGGGAGGCTTAAAACGGCCCCCGAAGCGGCCTTTTCTGGCCTGCTATTCACCGTCTCATTGTTATGTAGAGTATACAAACAGACCTCCGTTATCCTAATTAGGGATTCTTAAGGCTTTCTAGCCCTATCCTATTTCTACCTTAGGCCGCAATCTTCTTGCCTATAACTATTCTATATTACGCTATCGTTTCCCTATCGCCTCGCTATCTATACGTAATCACTATAGTCCCTATTAGAACTAGCTACCTTTTCCCACTAGGTTTTTAATAGGCTACGTTCTATAGGCTTTACCACGGGTTCGGACACCCGTAGCGGACGGGGGGATAATTATAACGGAATCCTTAGAAGCCATGCATAGATCTCTCGCACTCCTAGAGGATCGACACTATATAGGTGTCGACACGTTAGTGTTAGCTCACCGTAACGCTAATCCCCTATGTTAAATAATCTGCTCCGGAGAACCTAGCGGTTCTCTAAGAATCAGTCTCTATATTCCTCCAATATATTGTTCGCTTCTAGGCATCTTCATCTTACCTAGTTAACAGGCTCTATCCTGTAAACACTAGAACCCCTACTTCTTTACACTTTGATAGATATCCTTTGTCGTAATATGTTTTCTCCTCGAGTGTGGTGGTCTCTATTATCTCGCGCACAAAGAAGCCCGCTTTAAAGCAGCTAGCCTCGACAATCTAAGTAGGAACCTTTGCTAAATAGTCTATCTTTCTTAGAAGCTTACTATGTTTGGCGAGTAGGTTCGAGTTAACCTAGAATAACGCTTCGACGGTCTAAGAATATCTTCTTATTGGCTGCGAGTCTAACAATACACTTAAAGCTGTAGCACGAGAAATAGACAACAGCCTATAAGCATATTTTCTATTCTAGCTATAGTCGTTAAATAGCTCGTCTAGGTTAGCGGATATAAAAGCTTAGCCTTTTTAGGCAGCTTAGCTAATCTCTTAGCGTAATGTTCTAGATATAAAGGGAAGAGACTAAGTTATCTTTAGAACAATAACTACGTAGGACGTATCCTTACGGATATACGTCAATCCCTAAGACCTATCCATATTCTAGCGAAGAAGGACGCGGACGACCACTTAGAAAATTACCATAGGAATCTAGAATTTAAGAAGTTGTTCCGACATAGCCTCCACTCGTTCCTCGCTTAGTGTAACTAGGTAGTCCGTCAAAGCCTAAGTAATAGCTAAAGTGGCATAATACTCCGAATTGCTCTGAAGAAAGATATTAAGAGATATTATATTATTAATTTATTAAAGATAGACTTACCTATTTGTCTTCGATCAATCTATTAGTGCTATACCACGTCTTATAGAGATACTTAATACACTTCGCGATAGAGGATATATACTTCCCGCCCTTAGGGCTAAGTATTAAGGCTTATAACACGTGCGTATCACTACTAATGCTAGGGTTGCGTTCGCCACGATATATAAAATAGTTCTTCTCGCCCTCAAATACATTAATTATAGGTTAAATAGGGTGGTGAGATCTAGACCGCCGTCGACAAATAGGTTAAGCACCTTAATAAAAAATTAGCGATGCGAACTACACTAAAAGGAATGTTTAATACCTAGTTAATGTCGAAAGTTAAGGTTAGGAATATCTAAGGGACGTAACGTCTATCCTTAACGATGCTCTATTCTATAATATACTATAAATAAGCCTTAGCAGTAGGGTCCTACTCGGGCGACTCTATTAGATAAACCGTAGTAGACGATGGAGAGGAAAACATAGATCTATATCTTAGATAATATAAGAGTTTGCTAAAGTTAAGGACCCTAATAAATCCCTGGAGTGTGAATAAAGGCGAAGGCTAGATTAGGCCACTAGGGCTATAAAGAGCCTCTAGAGGAAATCGGGAGAGTTTTTCCCGGCGTAATTCGAGAATTCGATCTTTACTAGGGATTTCGAAGAGCACTCCTTCTTCCTCTAGTTTCTTAGTCATAATAGGGAACCAAAGTTCGAACCTAATTGGAAGTCGGGTATCTAATAAATCAAGGTTCTAATTTCTAATGTTTAGGTGAATAAAATCAATAGCCCGGGCTGCCTAGTCCTACAAGGTCGACTAATTTTTAATCGAAAGATTTTCTAACACACGTACATATTGCTTAATAGCTAGAAGTGAAACAAAGGTATAGGTGATACGGTTAACTAACGAGACGGGATTTCCCTAACCTCCGTCTTCCGCCTGATTCTAACAGAGAAAGTCGAAACATATAGGGTAGGCCTATATAGGGTTGTTAGAAGCCTACGGCTTCTAAACCATTGAGATCCACGCTATATCGTAGATACTACTAATGATAGTCCCGTGATGATACTTTTCGTCGTAGGTAGAGAGAAGCTTATTAAGAAGGCTATCCGCCTATAGAATGATAGTACTCTCGTCTATTATATAGCGGTAGGGTGATAGCACGGCTTACTAGGTCTCTTAGTGATTAAATCAATCAGCACAATATAATCCGGTGGATATAACTATTGTGGTTTGATATTTGTTGGTGACTAAAGACAAGTTGGTAAAAGTGAAGCAAATTTATCACTATCTACTTGTCTAATTGCAGAAAGCCATAGGTCTATTCGCCCCGATGTGAAAGAACAATCCGATCGCCACAACCGGCTAGGCTTGCTACGTGGTTCCTATGACAAGATGCAGCCAATGTACCCATACCGACGATCCCAATGCAAGCTATAGGAGACCATTAGTGAAGCTCGGTGATCTCATGTGCCATGCAGTACATCGGACAATGGCTTCCACCGTATCTCGCCTCGAGAGTAAGTTTCGGCAGCAGGATATCTTCCAAGATTTGATAGCAACCCCCAGTTTATGTCGATTAATGCTCCGCCATCAAGGTCTCTTCGCCTCTGGAAATGTGCTATATATCATAGATGAAGTAGCACAAGAGCTTATGAAGTTATTTTTGTACGCTAATTTCGAAGTGCATTGTATGGCGGTCGCAGTAAAAAGGGCGGGGTAAGGCGCGGCTGAGGCGGGAGGGGAAATTCATGCCTAAAGAGATTGAATAACAATAAGGCCACTTCATCTGAAGTTGACTAATTGAGAAGGTAGATCTGAAAGAAAAGTTCCAGTAAGGTTCAGAATATAGACTACATATCATACGTGAAGTAGGGTAACGCGTCGACCCTGTTTTGGTGAGCATGGAAGGATGCGAACAATTGATTTAGACTCAATCCCTGAGCTCCTAGCTATTCCACCTAGGTAATGTACAAGATACTTAATAGGTGCTCTTCTTCGTGTAGTAAATACTTTTAGTACCAAATACACCAGAGTCTTCTGTGTGGGCGGTATACTCAGTGTACTAAAGGATATGGACTGCTGTTCGCTGCCCCCTATTTAGGTACCTGAGTAGGCAATGGAACGAAGTCATGGTAACGTAGTCGTCTGAATGGCTGGGATCGCCGCGGTACAGGCAGGAAGGTTTATGAAACATCACTTCCAAGATATCTGCTCTATGATAGATACCAATTAGGTCCTGATGCGGACTTGGGACATACACATGTAGAGGTTGCATCCAATAGATTTCTCCACCATTAGAGGGTCGAAGCTTACGTCAAGCGTATGCCTCCATGTGCGACCCGCTAAATAGTACGTCACTCATGCGACGCGCAAACCATCTGTACCAATCTACTTAAACCTTCGTTTATAATGTGATACAGTATATGCAGAGACTGCAAGATATATGGAATGGTATCATGTCATTGGCCAGCTGTTACTCCTTTCTCCACCTTGGGGTAACGGACTCTCCGGGTGTCGAAAAAGAGCGGGGCTGTAGGAAACATATCCAGCTTAACACTTAATACTTTTTCCCTCTTCTCGTATTGGTCAGGCCATGCCATGCTAGATTGATACTCCTGGTCGAAAAGGTCAGCAAGTATCATGCACAAAACTGGACCAGTGGGTATAGTACCCAGGTCCGTTTCAGTCAAGAAGTTTGCGGCATTTGATTGGAGAGTCTCTCTAGTCTTACTAGACTCTTTAGTCTTGCTGGTCTCTTTAGTCTTGCCGGACCCTCTAATCTTGCTGGACTCCCTAGTCTTGCTGGACCCTCTAGTCTTGCTGGAGTCCTTAGTCTTGCTGGCCTCCTTAGTCTTGCTGGCCTCCTTAGTCTTGCTGGCCTCCTTCGTCATCGAGCACGCAGCCTAAGCCTCGACATTGTTTCCTCTGCTGGCTCCCTAGAGAACTTAGTCTCTAGCCCTGAACACCTTACGACACCGAATTTGGCTAGTCGCGGTCATAAAACCCAACTTATACTATATATCACGGAGGCTAATCTTTGAATTCCAGATTCGGTAGACTCGTTATTGTGTGTTCCTTGAACAGAGTAATCGGCCCTTCCTAAGTGTGTCCCTCCCTATTCGCCAGTGAACTAGGCCAGCCCTAGAGCCCGCCGTAGAGCTCCCACACGATATTACTTGCAAGCACACCTTCCGGAGGACTTGTTGCTCCTAGATAAGAACAACGTAGACCTTAGAGGCGGATATCACGACTATGACAAACCATAGATGGTGCTTTTGTTGTGTCACGACTCTAAGTGGGAGGACTAACAGACCAATCATAGTCTAGATAAAAGATGTTAAGTATCATTGGTTAGCTGCTACTCCTTTCTCCACCTTGGAGTAGCCAAGTGCTCGCCTCTAGGTGGAATTTGCCCTCGAGCGCCAACCCAGCTTAAGGCAGGTCGATCAGTTCATTCCCCTAGTTCATACTCTCGAAGGTGTTTGCCACGCTCAAAGCGCAAAATAGATTTTGTTTGTCTATGCCTATATGGCCATGTTTATACAGCCCGCAGCTATAGCACTCTAATCGCGATTCGAGCATTTGCCTATCAAGCTTCTCTCTAATAGTTCGTAGCGCATAGCTATTCAGCTCGAAATTTCTCAAGCTAGCCTTAGCTCTTCCCTTGTAGAAGATTTTCTTCTTAGAGTGCAGCCGCTTATCTAATTGTTAGGGCCCTGCGAGGTCCTAGGGTAGCAGTATGAGTTCGAGAAGTAGAGTCTATCGGCGAATGTACGTGCAGGTGTATTAAGAGACTAATTGCTGGTTCTCCATGCGAGGACCAGCGAGCACAATAAATACATGGTGCGCTTAGCTAATGTATTTAGCGACATGCACGGCCATCCTGGTCCATGCGTGCGATCAGCTACCCTCGCAATGCGAGGGCCAAAGCTCGCGATATGTCTTCAGGCATCCATAAGGCACCTGGCAGGTCGGGGTCCTGACAATAATAGCCTGCCCTCTCTAGACATAGACATTACCTATTCTGCCTACACGTGAAAGCGAGGAGCCTGAGTTTGCTAAAATCGCGGCTATGTTGATCTTATTTAGGGAAGGGTGATATTCTGTAAGTAAGAAAAGGGTTTTAGGTCGAGAACTGGCCAGGACAATTCTACGGATTATTATTCCTCTGATAATCACGAGACTTCCGGGAAGCGAGTCATGTTACGACTTATAGCACAGCATTTTATAAAGGGGCGAAAATGTAAGTTACAAGGCCTGTCAACCGCCTTATTCTTTATTACCTATATATTGGCCGGGCACTCAAATGAATGAAACTTTGGCGTTCAACATTCTCGAAGCACTGTGAAAATCTAATTTTGAATGCAAGAGAAGGGCGGCGACATATATAGTGGAAATTTCACGTGACATCCAATACACCTGTATAGGTCCTTTTTACTTCCCGGGATACTACTGTGTCGTCACCTCCGACTAGCTGAGATTCTGCTCTTCCTTCCGTCAGCTTTACTAATGACGATCCTTGGTGAGCCTTTTCTCGCGGGAGGCTGTCGTGCATCGACTAGTTTGAGCTCGGCTGGCCGAGTCACATGATCCTAGACATCTTGAGAGTGCACCACATTACTACAGACTCATGCGAAGCCAGTTTTATGCCTGAACACACAAAAAACTATTTCCAAGCCCAAGTGCCAAGAAAGTAGCTGAGAAAATGTCTGACCAGACATTCGTCCTCCCCTGTTCTCCCTCCATCCTGCGTCCAGATCGCTTCGACTTCGTTTCTTCCGAGGAACTTGAAGTTCCATTTTGGCGGATTTTGTCATGCATCTTGGCCGAGTCATTAATCTCTGTGACTGACGGCTCGTCTCTCATCGATACCCTGGAAATGATATCGGTTGTTCTACACGGAGAGGCTGCCAGGAACTACGTATTCCTACAGGAATTTCTCGACAATTATCTGACAACGTCCACTCCTGGATCAAGCAAGTTCTTTACATCAACGTGGCCATGTCTAGTCGGTCTTGCCTTGGAACTACCATCTTTATTCCCGAGCCACTCCATCCCCCCGCTGAAAAGCGACGAGACTAGCCAGATTATTTTAAGCAGAAGGCAGGCTGCCTGTTTGGTCGTACACCAGTTCTTGTGCTCCCTACCGGCCCATCCATGGCTGACGGAGTCCTTCGTTAATCTGTCACCGTGGTACTCGGGTGGAGAGGCAATGCACCGGGGTGCTGTGCAAGCGTATCTAGCCGCCCTCTTCACATATTTCGAAGCCATAGCGGCCTCCGAACCAGAGGGTGGAATTCTGCACCACTCAGTGGAAGACTGGCCCATTATTTTGGCGTTGGTAGTAATGCCTGGCGACCAATCACACTCTCTTCTTTCCAATGCACCAGCTTCATTGAGCCGTTTGGCAGTTGTCCAACTCCCACACCAATCAACAGACATCGCATCCCTCGGTCTTCCAGATGGCGCTTGCGTGATATCTGCTAACAAGAGCGTGGGATTCGGTGCGACAGGTACTCAAGAAGAGCTTCATGTGGGTATTTCCCCCGAGGCGTACCCAGTGACACTGCTAGCGCCCCCTCTGAAGGACCGCCAGGTCCTCACCTGCCAGGGTGCTGAAGCAATGGTTACTACTAAAGGGCACGGGAGATGGGCCTCCTTGGACGAAATATTGCATGGCAGACCAATACCCCCGTCTGTTGACTGGCGCAACCGGGTCATGCTATTCATGGACGCCCTGGAATTGGACCTTGTAGACAGCGTTCATCCACACGGTGGAGAGAGCATTCCGGACCTGATGCCAGGCTGTCTTCATCGGGAATTGGTGAAGGCCTACACCGCGTTCTGCTCGCATTGTAGCAGGAATATCCGGAAGCCCTACTCCTTTGTCACTACTGGACTTTGGGGCTGCGGCGCTTTTGGGGGAAATAGACAGATTAAAGCGATAATCCAATGGTACGCTGCATCCATGGCAAATGTACCTGAGCTTCGATATGTCCTAGCTGGCCCAGAGCAGAAAGGATTTGGAGATGAGCTCAAGAGGTTCGTCGGCCTGGTGGCAGAACACACTAGGAGAGAATTGGAGCCACAGAAGCTCTTTGACGTGCTTGTCCGTCTGGGGACAGAGATCCAGACTGGGAAGTCCGCTGTTCCCAAGCCAGACGGGATTTTCGAATATGTTTTAAAAAGCCTGTAAGGAGTATTGGCTATGGTGTGGTCACTCATGAAAGAGCGGGCTTCAAATCTAGTCCAATTCGAACGCCGGCTGTGGTCATTGTGGAGAATATAATGTATAATAGTATGGCCTGATATGTTGGAATGGGCAAGAAGTATGAGCTACATGCATCTTCTGCTGCAGAAGCGTCCCATTCCTCCTGCGGAGCCAATATCAGCAGAAGTGGTTTATCTCAGTGCACGGGCATATTGATGTACCTTTTGCTGAAGTATTACTGTGTTTAACATGTCATAAAGGTCCACTGCTATAGCCCGTGCGCTCTGGTCCCCACTGCTTCACCTACCTTGTTACAATATAGAGCGCTGCAAGCATAGTGGCTGTGATTCAGCTGGAAGGTGTCCATGCGGAAGTGACTGGGCTATTCTGACATAGGCAGCAGCAGCCTACCTAGACAATGCAAAGCGGGCGGAATTATGTCCTAATAGGGACTAGTGTGCTATAGGTGGGGCCTTAGGAGATAAAGAAAGAGAGATTGAACGTAAAGCTAAATTCGAATATTACTGTACACGTTCCATCAAGAATCAAATCACACGGCCATCTTCGGTCAAATGGCCAAGAAATTGTGGACCGATTCCATAGCCCTCAATCCATTGCGGCCAGAGATGCATTTTTACTACAGGCAACATCTGGAATGCGGAGAAATGCAGTGTGATAGAGCACTCTCAAACAGCAACAGGTCCTCGACTAGAAGGGCCGAGAATTGAGCACGAACTGCACGAGATGAAATGCAATTGCGACGGCTGGGACTTTGATTAGACCGGAATCGGTTTGTATGCTTCTCGTCACAGCACCTAAACGTTTATTCCCCTTAAATGATTGGGGGAAAGGCGGTTCTTTATCTAAGAACTGAGAGTAATTCAATAGATACTCGTTTGTTACGATACCAGCAATACTCTCCGCTACTTGGATCTGCTTAGCATTCGAACGGTCGTAATAGTTCAAGATTGCGGGCTCGATGGCGTCATAGGCTGGAAGGTCTTCCAATCTAGATGTGGCTTGCGGAATCTGTAGTTTAAGGATATAGCTTAGCAATAGCATCCGGCTCTCGCTTATTAGATATAATTGGGCTTAGGGGAGCGGGGGCGGGCGCGGCGCGCAGGAATTGTTGACGCTTAGCGTCTAGAAGAACACTAGCTAATATTGTAGTGGAATCGATTTTCTTAGGGACTGATAGGTCTTGCAGCAGAATTTTCTTAGAGTTAAAAATACAAGAGTAAATATTAGCGGAGGGTAGTCGCTATTATCTATTGCTTTACCCTAGGCCCTATTAAATACGCATTTCGATACTATAGAATCTAGAAATATCACGTCTGATTAGCATAATCAGCAGCCTTAGTTCCTTACCAGCGTGAAACAAATCACCCTAATTCAGAAGTTAGCTATCTAGACACGATCGATATTAAGGTTTCTTAAATCGCTTTTTAAGGTTGTGCTCCGAACGATCGGAATATACGATATAAGCCTATTATTGGAATCCTCCTTTTACTAATCGTAGACAATCTCGACTAGATCTTACAATCTATACTATTGTATCTAAGGAAGCTAGACTATCCTAGTTTCATAGGCAACAACCACGGGCTATAGTTCACTAGCAAGAATTCCCGCTACGCTCGCTAATAACCTATGCGATATATGCCCACACTAGTCACTAGCCTATTCTAAGCCGTTTCTCTATTAGGGAAGTGATAGTATGATCATGATATAGTTTCGTAGTCGCTGTCTAGTATAGCCGTAAGATATAGCACCGACCGAGGTTAGGGGCGTGTGCGGTATTTTCGCTATTGGCCTATATCACCGGTCTATGCTTTCGAATATTTATCGATTGGTGTAGAGGGAACCGGAGAGACCGACGATAACGATAACTAGGTCGTATTCGTGGCTAGGTGTAAAGAAGTAGGGGTTCTAGTGTTTACAGGATAGAGCCTGTGAACTAGGTAAGATGAAGATGCCTGGAAGCGAACAATATATTAGAGGAATACAGAGACTGATTCTTAGAGAACCGCTGGGTTCTCCGGAGCAGATTATTTAACATGGGGGATCAGCGTTACGGTGAGCCAACACTGACGTATCGACACCTATATGGTGTCGATCCTCTGGGAGTGCGAGAGATCTGTGCATGGCTTCTGAGGATTCCGTTACACTAGGTAACCGAGAGCTATCTATGACGCCGGGGCTGTGTAATATAACTTCGGATAGAGCGGACGGAGCGGGGCATACGGCGTGGAGGGTACACTAGCACTTTATAGATATATAAAGGAGGCCGGCGGTATTAGAGACGAATAAGGCTCACTAGCAGAGGAAAACCTAGATTGCTTCGTAGTATGGTATACAGTCACTCCTTTAGGGAAGGAGTAGGGGTATCGAACTAAAGCCACACGATGCCGCTGCGGGCTAGATTATTCTAGTGGTTCTACTCCTATGCAATTACCATTCTAGCCCGAGAAGCGAGAACAAGCTAGGGCTCGGATCGAGCGGCATCTCTAATAAAATAAAAGGGGCAGTGCGTCGGGTTGCAACAAGGCGCAATAGTCGGTAGGGGCGAGAGGGAAAGAAAGGGGGCGGCGATAAGTGCAATATAGAGGAGTTCCAGGGAGGGGAAGAAGGAGAAGAGAGGCCGAAAGGGCGAGGTCGGGTCTTTTATGTCGAGGCGACGCCGGGAGAGGTTACAAAACAGCGTATTAGGGCGCTAAACCTGAAAAGGCAAAACTAACCGGATACAGTAATTCACAGGTCCCCATATTACATGATATAAAGACAGTGATCAGCGACACCTTCCAGAGCTGATGAAGCCTTTTGTAGTATATGTCTCTAAAATATGGGCAACAACTATCTCCTTACCCTCCTATATACATGTATCAGCTTTCGTCCAACGTGTCACAATAATACACATTGCCTTCAGAGCACCCTACGTAAACGGACCTTCCCTATTCTAACCTTATGCTCTAGTGCCATCAAAACAAAATTAACGTCAAACGCAACGCCTGGGGCTTATTTCTGCCAGACGTGCGCCATCTCCGCTCGAATCATTGACATCAGGACGACCTGTTACCATGAACTATCAGCTATGCCCCCTTAGACCTTTTAAATATCTGACATACCAAGCTGAGGTCTACCCCTTTAGCCACTCGAACCCGAACGACCAAGATATCCCGATCTCGCACGAAACGCTTCTTGATATTGTTTAAATGCACTGAGATCTCTGCAATCGTAACATTGCGAATGTTAACATAGTTTGTTATCCCCATTGCATCGCGCAGTCGCATATCGACCAGCGCACCGGAACTCAAGATCTTCCCGTCAATGGCTGTGTGTTGCGAGGTGAAGAATTTCTTATGGCTTACCCTAATAAGCTCCTAGTTCTCTGAGCTCCCAGTCTCGCTTTTGTTTATGGGTCGGCCATTACAACTCTCACTTGAAGACAGATAGGGCAAGAAAATATTGGGGGCACCGACAAAACCAACTCAAAAAGATTGTGAATTTCATGATGCAACCAGAAAAACATAGCACGATCTAGTGGCAGTCAACGATCCAGTGATATATACAGGTAACCACCATTAATGTCTCAGCTTGACCCACTGGAAAATGGGGGCTAGTTGTCTTAGTGTGATATCTAGGATATTTTTGATACTACCAGAATAGGAGGCCTGATATTGTGATTATAGGATGTATAGCATAGTGCAGTTCAATCTGAATCAAAGCTCGCTGTTTATGTAGCCGTAGATAAGATGTGGACAGGCAGCGGGACGGAGATTTGTCACTGCAGAGAGTGGTTGCGGCCATGCGGTCAAGTGGCAGTTTGCAGCATATAGTTATCAGTGGAAAGGCGGCCGTTTCCCTATTTTCGGGGCCAGTTCCACAGGTGCTTAAATGCTATGTTTAAATCATCGCGGCACACTAGTTGTTTGCCAAGCACCTTCTAAAAGCCTTTGTATGAACCAGCAGGACGCTTTCGAGTAATCGCTTTGAGTAGACCATTGGTTTGAACTTCAGGATACATCTAGTTTAAACCAGATAAAGTGACAGTGAGTTAACATTATTGAACATTGAGTTAAGATCGCTCAGCCTTGCAAGTAACCGGCGAAGTAGAAAAAGCCGATAGCGGAGCCCGCCGCCCAATTCCGGCGTCATCCATATCCCGCTCCACTCCACCCCACCCCGGTTATCCGCGGTCTACGACACCAGTCACGTGAAACGCTTTTTTGGATGCTCTGAGTCAATTCTGCACAAGATCTAGAATCTGTGCAGCTAGATTCTTATTTGATCAAAACCCTATTGCAAGAATACATACCATATCCAGCAAAACCTCCGGTTGGTTGGCGACATGGCCACAGTTACACATACAATGCCCACGACGGCAATCGAACTCCCAAACCTGGGACAAAATACGGGAGAAGAAAGACAAAGAAATCTCAATTCCTCTAGCACCCTAGAAGTCGACGAGGTTATGCAGCAATCTCTCATTGCAGATTCACAAGTCCCCGACGGAGGCTATGGCTGGGTTCTCATCGGTGCATGTGCCGTTGTGACATGGTGGTTCGTCGGTGCCTCGTATACATGGGGTGTGATGCAAGCAGAACTAGTTGACAAAGAGGGATATTCCTCTTCGACTTTGGCGTTTGTTGGATCGCTGTGTCCGGCTTGTATCTCTCTTCTTGCTGTTCCTAATGCGAGGGTGATTGGATTGATTGGAGCTCGGACGACTGCCATGCTTGGTATTTTCTTGCTCGGTCTTGGCAGTATTCTTAGTGGATTTGCTACACATAGTGTTCCTGGACTTTTTATGACTTGGGGCTTTGTTGGTGGTCTTGGGACTAGCTTGTGCTTCATGGTTAGTATATCACTCCACCCTTAGCCGAAAACTTGATGTGTTAACTGGAGGTTACAATAATAGGTTGTTTCCGTCACACCAGCTCAATATTTCAAAGCCAAGCGCGGCATCGCAAACGGAATTGTCTATGCTGGCGGCGGACTGGGCGGCACAGTCATCAGTTTCATCCTCGACGCACTCCTCCAAAGCGTGGGCATAGCCTGGACATTCCGGATCCTCGGGTTCCTTATCATGGCAACGGGGCTACCAGCCGCCTGGTTCATCAAAGAACGCTCACCAATCAAACCAGCAAAGATGGTCGAATGGAGTCTGTTCAAGGATGTGCGCTTTGCAGTTCTTTTCGCTGTCGGTGTCATCGGTACATTCCCGCTCTTCGTGCCAGCTTTCTTTTTGCCATTGTATACCAACTCGCTTGGCTTGCGATCCAGCGCTGGAGCAGGTCTCGTGGCGGCGTTTAACTTTTCGTCTGCGATTGGGCGTCTTTCGTGTGGATTTGCGTGTGATCGGTTGGGATCACTGAACACGCTTTTCTTGTCGTTGCTGCTCAGTGCTTTAAGTATTTTTGTGCTGTGGCCTGTTTCTACTTCTATTGGGCCTTTGATTGCGTTCACGATCATCAATGGGTCTGCGAATGGGGGTTTCTTTTCGACTATGCCTACCGTTGTCGGGAACGTGTTTGGCTCGGCGCGGATGTCCGTTGCTGTGGGTATGATTGTTAGTGGGTGGCTTGGCGGTTACTTGCTTGGTGCTCCTATTGCTGGTTACATTTTGAATGCTTCTGGTGGTCAGGCTGGTGGTATTGGAGCTTATCGACCGGCTATCTTTTATGCTGGCTCTATGGCCACGGCTGCGACTATTTTGGCAGCATTTGTGCGGATTAAGGTTGATCGGAGGATTAAGAAGACCGTTTGAGTCGATGTGATGATGGAGGGTACCGAGGCGATGCAAAAGTTATCATTTTTCCCGCGTATAGATATATTTGATCCAATTTCGAATTGTACAGTCCAGTGAGTCATGAATCAATGCTCTTGTCACGGATAGTTACTGATTTATCTGCTTCTGGCGAAATGGTTTTCTAGCGCAAGTGTCGGACGACCAAAAAGGTGTTTGTGAGCGTTTAGGTATGAGATGAATTGGCATCCCATGTAATTGGAGTAATTAGGTAAGGATCGCAATGCCAAATTTCCCAGATCATCTATTCATTTCTTCATAGTATATGTAGATGAAGATTTTTGTTGTGTTCATTTTTTTTCTTAAAGGCGGGCCTTCTTCTCCTCACGGCCTTTAAGGTTAGGATGAGGGTTGCGAATGGGCCGAGTAACGGCGTAGAAGGCAAGGCCTTGGGACTTGGTGGAGAACTATAGTAGGAATCATGTCAATTCAATGCTCGCAGCATTAGGAGTATAAGAGTGTCATGACATACTTTCACCTTGGATCCGACGTGGAAGAAAGCAAAGTCCCCTGGGACTAGGTGATGGGTGACACCAGTAGCCTCGTCCTGTAAAATAGACCCGCCATGATCAGTAAAGTCCATGATTATGTATGTTTCAATATCCCAGGGGTAGAGAAGACACTTTCTATGTAGATCAAGAGGACTTACCAAAATATCAATCTGACCACTCAGAACATACTTAGTTTCCTCGAAATTGTAGTGTGCGGGTCGTTCAGGCCCAGCCTCGATCTTGTAAAATCCAGAGGTAAAGTATGAGGGAGAGTCGGTGGTCTTGGTGCGGATAGAGTGGAAATCGGCCGTGGTTGCGTTCTCACCCTGGGGGGGAGGGGATGAACTCGTGGCCGGCACCCTTGATGACTGTAAGAGGAACGATGTTGCTAGACACTTTGGCGAGTGAATCCAAGTGTTAGTGACTCTCAACGGTTTGGATTCTTACAATTCTCTGTTAGAAGAATCATTGGGCTTAGTTACTGACTTTTGGTTTATTTTGTGATAGATGAAAACGATATTGGAAACAGCACGGGCTCCCCTTAACTATTATAAGTACTTGATTTACTGGAGAAGCATCCGGGCGCATTACCGGGCGATGTTGACGTCCTGCATGCTTTACCCCGATGAGGAGAAAAAGCCCCCGGTGCATCATCCGTAGGTGGGGAATATGTCGGATGGAGGTCCGATATCCACTTTACAGGGCATTCTCACGAATCAGTTGACAATTGCGTGCTACATGCTTCTTTAAAGAGAATACTTTTTCCCCTGGACAGAAAGTTTCCCCGAGTGAGGAAAGGAAAAGAAGGCTCGCATCTATACCGATCTATGTGGGGAGTCTTGTTCAACCAATAATGATATTTGTTTCCCCGCACCCCTCATTCACTCGAAAACAATAAAAGATAAATGTCCTTTGTTGGTGCTGCAACTTACTGCTGATCATCACACGGGGAATAAGAGACAAAAGTGTGTTCGCCAGGCAGGGTGGCAAATTGACTCTTGATCTTCTTCGGTGTGTCGTTGGGAGTTATTGAAGACGGTCATAATTTAAGGGCCCATTCCTGCCGGTATCTCCGAGTCTCAATTGTGTTTCTGTCATAGTCTTTGGCTTTGATATGTGTAAATGCGTCGAAGTCCCCTGTTCTATTTATATACACCACGTCTCTTATTGGTCAAGGAGACCCATAGACACATGCTGGTTCCTGGAGCACGTGATCCGGCTTTTGCAGGAGCATCCCCCAATGCATATATGATTGAATGTATAGGTCTCTGTCGCGATTGACACCCACCGAAACCCAAATTTGGCACCAACATGCCCCGTTTGGATTCGGGCTGAAGATCTAACTAGGCGACCATGTCGGTCACAATTCCGCTCGAACCCCTCCATACCGCACATGTGAAAACAGGTGACCATTCCTCCTGTCACGCCGACGCGCCTATTCAAGAATTCGAGCCCCCCTCGCTTTACTTCGAACGAAAAGCAGATATCGGGACAGAGGCCGAACACATACATGTTGTATCGAACATGAACAGTGCGCGGAGCGAGCGGACACTAGGTGTCGAAAAGCAACCTTCATCCGGCTTGCAGTTCTTGACCGAGGCGAGCGAGCACCCGCTTTTCCCGCCTTTGCCTTCTTATGGCGCCCCATCTGGGCTGGGCAGAGTCCGGGACTATGTGTTCATGGCGGTCTCGTTCATTCTTTCGCTTTGCTTCTTGACAGTCATATTTGTCGGGGCGTTGTTTCGCACAGGCGTAATCGCACTATCGGAAGCTCGTTTACGACTTAGCGGACAAAACCCGGATATGCATAGAGCATTCTACACTGAAGAACAAGCACGGCGTATAGCACGGAAGGAGGCGGATCGACGATGGCATCTGCACAAACAGAAGAGGGACACAGATGAAGAACAGGCACCTGGACAATCTTCGCTAGAAGGAGGAAAGGACCCTGTTGTCTGTGATGTGGCATACTATGCACGACGCGTAGGTCTTGACGTGGAAAAATTCCGTGTTCAGACCGAGGACGGCTTCATAATCGAGTTGTGGCACGTGTATGACCCGCAAGATTATCAGGCGCTATCGGCAGAGGAAAGGTCTGAGCGTGGGCCTGCTGTGTTCACCAAGCCCAAAACACCGCATACCGCTCGTCCACAGTCTAACCGGCGGTATCCCATTCTTTTGGTTCACGGCTTACTTCAAAGCGCTGGTGCTTTTTGCACGAATGATGAGGATAGTTTGGCATTTTATCTTTGCAAGTCCGGGTATGATGTCTGGTTGGGCAACAATCGCTGTGGCTCAAATCCGGAGCATAAGACACTTTCGACTGCTGATCCGCGAATGTGGTCCTGGGACATTAGACAACTCGGGACGCTGGACCTTACAGCCCTCACTTCTCGTGTTTTATATGAGACTGGATTTGAAAAGCTAGGTCTTGTCTGCCACTCGCAGGGAACCACGCAAACATTCGTCGCCTTGGCCAAGGAGCAGCGCCCTGAGATAGGTGAGCGCATTTCAGTTTTCTGTGCGCTGGCTCCGGCTGTCTATGCTGGCCCGCTCGTGCGCAGACCGTACTTCCGTTTCATGAGTATCCTCTCTCCGACCATGTTCCGATTCGTCTTCGGCATCCACTCCTTCATCCCTTTGATGATGACCGCCCGACGTCTCCTGCCACCTAAAATATATGGAACCATGGCATACTGGGTGTTTTCGTTCCTTTTTGACTGGTCAGACACACGCTGGGAGCGTGATCTCCGTCACAGAATGTTCCAGTTTGCACCTGTGTATGTCAGCGCCGAGTCAATGAGATGGTGGCTCGGGAACGAAAGCTTCGCCAAGCACAAGTGCATTTTATCCACAGACGAGGATCTACTACGTGAGACCAATGTGAATAATACCATGTGTGGTGATCCTGTCTCAGAACATGGCGATGATCCCGAGGATGCATGCTTGGGAACTCCAACTCCTAGCCCTTGGTTCGGTCCGCGGACACCCCCGTTCGCATTTTGGATCGGGGGCTCTGACGCTCTTGTTGATGGCCGCCGGCTTCTGAACCGGTTTCAAAGCGGCCGCGAGCCTCACGTCCGTCTCGTTCACTCTAAAGTTATTGACGAGTATGAGCATCTTGACGTTCTCTGGGCGATGGATGCGGTCGAGCAGGTCGGCAGTGAGGTCCGTCAAATCATTTGGACGACCATGCCTGAGGACGCTCGGCAGGTTTGTCGAGCCCCTCGCGGAGTTAATCTAAACTTGGTAGATACAGGGTAGACGATCAGTCTGTTCCCTTTTTATTCTTAGTATATAAGTCATCGGTAAATATACAATTATCGCGAGCCAATGAAATTATATACCACTTTCCGCCGGGGGCCACAATAGGGGGCCGTCGGAGACATCGGCCTTTCACAAACCACAGCGACATGCGGCTCAGCAAATCACTTCTCGTTCCGACACTATGGGTCAATTCACAGATCCAAACCCCAAGGCTGTGCGTTGAAACAGACGGCATATCCTTCTACTCCATACAGTGTGTCTCTGCCCCACACAAGAAACCCATTACGTACAAACGACGCGACTGACAGTGTCGCTGAACATAACACTGATAGTTTGGAACCGACGTTGACCTCGCTCTTTTCAGACCATGCAAGATACTTTCAATTGCCGTTGTTCCTTCCAGCATACGATTATTTGACGACCCCGAAGGAACCACACCACCAATGGTTCTGCATCAGCTGGTACCTATGCTGTCGATCAGGGGCTTGCGGCCCTACCGAATCACGCTCTGAGAGCGTGTTAGAGAGATTGCCATTACAATTGCCTGTTTCAAACAGATATTCAGCCCTAGTGCATTCCTTCTGCTCGCTGTGAGTTGTGGCTTAGCTGGTGTGTACCAACCTCAACTGAAGAGCCCCGTTAGAGTCATTGTATGGATATATTCACGGAAATGATCTACGTCTTCCCTGCAGCTTGACCCGCAACTACAGTAGGAATTGAGCAGACGCGAAAACCAATTGACAACTTAATTCCTCGCTTTCTATTTACGTCCCAACGGCCGTTCGTGACTAGTTAATCGGACTATTTCCGGGGATGTGGCTTGTCTGTGGCATATCTTCTGACTTTTTCTCTTGATCGCAGATTTTCAACTTTTTGCGAAAGCCAATCAACGCCTAGCACATCCTGCTATAGGAGCCCAGGAAGTGGCCGCTCTCCTTTAATCTTCCCACTCCTCAAAGATGGCATCCTCGGCATACAGACGAACGCGGTCTTGGATCTGCAGACTCATTATACGGATCCTAGCGCTCTTGAATTGCATCGCCATTTTCGCATTCATTGGCCTATATGCCTCCATTTGGTGGATTACGCTAGCTCTGGTCAGTATCACACCCAAGCCCTGCCAAACCACAAATTGACGCGATATTTTGGATATACAGGCTGCCTTCCCACTTATATGGTCTCTGGTCGACTTGGTCATGCTTTGCATCAGATGCATACCACAGCACATGACAAATACCCTTTTGGATCTTTTTTGTGCCACACTCATGGCAGGCGACGGGGGTTGGATGATATGGAATACCCTAGTCTACGATAACTTTGCCAACGAGTCCGGCCAAACACTTGGGATTATTGTAATATTTCTATTATTCTCTGCTATGTATGGCATATTCCCATGTGGTCCTGCGACACCCAGTCGAATGTTGCTGACATCTATTGTTTTGAAAATAGGATCCTCCATCTCATTCTTTTTGCGGTATCTTTGAAGTCGCATCGAGAGGAAAAGCATGAAGAGAAGCTTCGGGGCTGGAGACCCGAATCGTACTCCCTCGTTCATAATTCTGGCCAACCTCTCATGCCCATGGAATATGGTCATGTTAATAGAAGTCAAGTTAACTTCTGAGTTCGCTCTGTCGCGATCGTTAACCAAGCCTCACATATTCTTCAACCTACTACTCTACCCGCAAAAATTCGGGTAGAGAATGTGGGGCAGCATAAAGAAGCACGGCACACCTGGACTGGGCATGATCACTATACCTCGCCAAAACACAAAATGAACATACACAAACACAGATCACGAGATGCATATTCGCAGGCCCTTCTTCCCTATTCATATGGGCTTGGGAAAGGGAGTAAAGCTAGAATCGTGACGCCGTGGTGTAACATCTTTACAAGTCGACATTGGATCACGACCAGGTGACTCGTCTTTTGTACTTGACTGCAGCGATATTGGGAGTCTTACCAATGTGCGTGTGTCCGCTACTATGGAGAAAGGAGTAAGTTAATGAGAAATTACAGCATCAGGGACAGTCGTTCGGCACTTGACATATCTCCAAGTCCAAGGCATCCTCAGCGTCGCTGAGGCCATGATCTGGCCTTTCCTTGTTGGCTCATGGACTATATACATATTTGGATAAATAACTCTCGTGGCCAGTTGCTGAGAAAGTCTGCTCATGTGCATATATTGTGATTCTCTCCCAATGGTCGGCTGGGCACCACGAGTCGACTGTTTGTTTCTTATTTATCTTATTTACTTTTCGTGTCTTTCCGGTCATTTCCCAAATCGGGTGAGGGTCAGGATTTAGCTGGAAACGAACCATTGAGGACTATTGCTAAGTACTTGTAACGCTTTCACCGCCATTCAAGTCCACCAGACTGACAACATTAAAAACCTCGCGCTGTCGACAGTATCCATTGGATTCCATTCAAATCACCAAATCAACATACCCCCTTAATCATAAACACACATATCCAAAGCCGTCCACTATGTCTGTCATCCAAATCACAACCAAAAAGGAGTTCGATGAGCTCGTCAAGTGCAAATCCGCCGTCGCCCTTCATGCCAAAGCTGACTGGAGCGGACCTTGCAAGGCTATCTCGCCCGTCTTCAATAAACACGATCAGGTTTACACCAATGACTCCTTGACTTTTGCCAGATTCGAAACCGACGACGTCGCCGACCTGGCCCAGGAGCTCAGCATCAGCAATATCCTTGCTTTTTTATTCTTCGAGGAAGGCGAAAAGTGTGACTCCGTGGTCCGAGCCAACCCGAGCGCCCCCAAAGACTCCATTCAAAAACTCCATGGTTGAGCGAAACCCGCACCGTGGCCTGTTTTCTGCAGCGTGGGCTAACTCCGAATCATGTCATGAATGAATGCTAGTTTTGAGGTGGAGGGCCGCTGCTATATCGCGCAATACTACTTGGGTGGCTCCTGGCAGCGATTGATTCCTGCAAATCTGGAAGGTAGACAATGAGGTGCAGATTGGTTTCACCCTTTGGACGAATGTGAGGACGGAAGTCTATGGGACGAACAATCACCCGACTATCTTCACTGCCAGATCGAGTGGAGGGTTAAATTGAATAATCGGGTTGTGGTGAAGGATACAAAACAAGATTTGACTCGACCGCCTAGATCCTACTGGGACCAGATAAAAGCGGACGCTAGTAGTATTCTACGACGGAAGACAACCCGTAGCCGACGGGTGAGACTAGATGATACTGACATGGTGTTATCGGTGAACTCCTAACGGGACTTGACAAACTCTTCGAAGGTACTGGTGTTGACTAGGCAGCGGTTGAGAAACAGCTACTAGCGTCGGCCTATATGTTCCGTCGTGGCAAGAGGATCCGGCTTTAAATATCGATCAACTACATAGTGGGCCTCTTCCTTCTAGAACTGACAAAAAAGGAAAGTCATCGGTTACCACGCGGATGCTCGCCGACCGAGATGCTTAGATTGATGCTGAGCAGGCCTCTGGCCAGCAATCAGTGTGGCGAGATGTGTATCGTGTCATGCGATGTCCCGGGCCTCTATGTCGCCATGAAGGACAATAACAATATTGCTGGCAAGATCCGGAGGGAAAGAGACACCACAGAATGAGGACATATCATTTTAAAGGCCCTCGTCAAATACGTGGAGCAAGGAGGAATCCTCGAGACCCATGATGACGTTCCTGATAGTGTTCGCGAGCAGCTCTATGCTGAGGAGAACCAGCGACTTAAGAAAAAGAAGAAAATCACGGATAACTCTACAATCGGTTCAACGTGTCCTCTAATCAACATTCATTTTATCCTAGCAGGATCACCTTAACCATTGATATCTACCCTGACTGCTAATGAAGCAACGCCGGATAAGGCTGAGCCGATTATTGTTCATGGGCTGCTGGATGTAGCTGTGGAAGAATATACCAACTAGCAGCGGGCACGGGTGAGCAATGAAATAAGACTTTTAGGGACAATATCATCAAAGCACGCGATGTGACACTTGAAAATTGCCTCGATCTCACGTGGATCCGGATTTTTTCGTCAAGCATAGCGTAAAAGTAGGTGCGGCACGGCTGTTCGTACGCGATATTGGCCTCTGGGTAAAGCAATGCGGGGAGATCACTTGCCATGAGAATATTAGTAGTTCATTCTAGACTTGGTATAGTTTACAGAATGGGTCGAATTCAGTTTCACCATTTTGCTCTTATAGAATCTTTCCCGAACCCTAACTCGAAAAACGCTAATCGATTTGGGCTTTAGCCCGGTTTCAAACATTGAATCGTATTGATAGATATGATTATATGATCTAACGATCTATAAATTACATCTAATACTCTTACTGACAATACTGGCCTCGTAGGTCCTGGGTTCGTTTATCGACGGCTCTACTGGCCCTCAATTTGTTGGCAGCGATGTTGACTAAAGTAATAATGTCAATCTATGGTGGGAAAGGTCGTCTTGGGAAGTAATATAAAAAGCGGAATTTGCTATATAAACAAGTAATATCTAGGCATTTATATCCAGGCTCTCCGTTTCCTATGCCAGTAATGTTCTAGATCTAGATAAAGTAGTCGGGTGGTTTAGGCTGAGTGTTTCCTTCTGCTTGGTTAAGCAATCTTAGGCGTTTGGTCACCTACGTCGAGAAGGGTGATGTCCTGGAGACGCAAAAAGACGTTCTAGGTGAGATCCGGGTTAACCTCTATATATAGGAGCAGCAGAGGCAGAAGAAAGAAAGATGCAAAGGCAGTAGTATTCTTGGGACTGGATTGCCGTACCTACCTATCAACATTGATGTTAACCTGACTTGTCTCACTGGATTGGCTCCGAAACCTCCGGCTGATGCCTTAGCTAGCCTGAGACTTGTGGGTCCATTGAATATTCCTAGGAGTAAAGACGAAGCTGTCAAAGAATATGTTGAGTGGCTCGTATTAAATGTATCCGACCATACTCTTAAGGCGAAATTCCGATAAGCGTGCGATATTGAACTTGAACACATCTATAAGGATCAAAACCCAGAATTTTTGGTCAGCAGGGGGATTAAGCCCGGAATTGCCCGAAGCTTCGGGGGGAAAATTTGCGGTTGGGTTGAGAACGTGAAGAAAGAAATATTCGTTTTTGAACTCTGCAGTCAAGCGACTAGAAGGTAGAAACCGCATCAACCCTTGAGTCACCTAAAGTAGAGGTTCAAGTGTTGGATTGGGCACCAGCCCAGCAAATTTCAGTTCAAACTTCGACGTTCCGTGATCTTTGAACAGATTGGTCTGTGTATCTTTTTCGTTTACCTTCTCTAGCTCCAGATCATGGCTAGACCTCGTCAATCTTAATTCCCGTAGTCTCCCATTCGGCCAGCAACCTCTCCACAAAGCGAGTTATCTACTTCATGAAATTGCTTGTTATTGTATCAAAGTCTATACTTGCACCTTTTCGGTGCGCATAAGTACGACTTGATCTGAGAGCAATGTGTCGTTGTCTGAGGTGCCAAAGCAAAAAAGCCCATTAATTGCGGAACATTGAAGTTGTAGAGATACGATTGGGAAAAGGTAAAAGCGGTCGCCGCAGGACCCGCCCGATTTTCTTTTGGTTATTTGGCGAGAAATCGATTGAAAACTCTTCTCATTTAAGGAATGCACGCTGATTGTGTTGTATCTCCATGTCTGCCTATCGCGTCAGATTTGCAAACACGGTCTGCGCACCTTCGCCAAGTGCCGAGATTGCTTCCATTTTAGATCCCTCCGTCGCCCTTCCCTCAGACCGAGCCTTACGCAAGCGGAGTCGGTCAGGGTGTTTTCAATGCAAGAAAGCTAAGGTCAAGTGCGACGAGTTATTCCCGGTCTGTCTACGTTGTCTGCAACGCCATTTGCTCTGCAAATCATCTCCACGATTGTCAACATGGCAGGTCGAAATGCGCTGGGTTCCGTCCACCTTAGGCGCAATCGTGAAGGTGCCTCTCCTCCAATACTGGCTAGAACAGGCTAGCCAGATGCTGGTCATTGATCCCGAAAATAACCCTTTTTCCTTTCCGATCATTCGATATCTGACGGAAGCCCCATCGCTTTTACATATTATTCAGTCCCTCGGTGCAGCTCACCAAGAATACTTCCCTGCACGCGGACCAATCGTCAGCTTGGAAGAAAAGGGGAGGGCGCTTCAAATGCTCCAGCGGGAGATGGTCCAATCGAAGAAACCTGAAGAGTGCTTTCTTACTATCTCCCTTCTCGGTCTATCTCACTGGGCAAACTCAGACCCACGGGACTTTGGCCAGCAACACCTTTTCGCAGCACGTGGCATTACCGATCACCTCCTTTCCCGCGACCGGGATATCTTCCACCAGCCTGGGAATGGGAATGATAATTTACTCGCAACCTGTTTTGGCTCTTTCCTTTATTGGGATATGTGTTGCGCCCATCTTGTGGATGCTCGACAACAACGCCCTCTAGACACAACCCCGATAGCACAAGCTGTTCGTGCGCTCAGGGCCATGGAGCACCCTACCTATGGTCCCGCCGCTGAGCTAATATATATTCTATGTCAGGTTGGTCGTTACTGCCGAGAGGTGATTCAGTTAGGTCACCAGGATATCATCAAAGCGACAGCGCTTCACCAACAGCTCTGTGCTTTCCCAGTACTGCGGAACAATAGTTCACTTGCGCTATTATACGACTCCTTTAAAATGCACGGGCTTATTCTCCTCTATCGTAACAGTGTGCACTCTGCCAGATTGGAGGACGAGACGAAAGAAGACCGAATCCACAAATATGCTATCAAGATTGCCTGCAATCTCTCAGAAATTCCCCTGAGTTCAAATTTACTAAACATTCAAGCTCTACCTCTGCTCACAGCTGCATCGGAACTCCGCTCCTACGACACCGAACTGCGACAAGCCTTGGTGGCGCGATTTAAGGCTATCTATTCAATGAATCGAGTGCCTTCGACCCTTCTAGCAATCTCACTATTAGAAGAGATATGGGAAATCCGCGATACCGGGCTGGAAGCAAGCTGGATGGGATACATGATTCTTACAAAGAAATGGTCCCTTTTGCTGGGGTGAGCTCGGCAGATGATTGCACAAAGGATTCATCCGAGTTGTCTTGTTCGTCGAACCTCAAATGCTCAGTTTTCTCTCGCTGTTATTTGACATTCACTGGTGTCGTAACAAGATTTGGGACTTTGGGTGCTTTTCTTGATCCTCCTGAGGTACCATTTTGACATCGTCTCACTTTTCAGGCTGAGTTTATGTAAACATATATACCAAATGTCCAGTCATAGGCGGCCGGGGTAGCTAGAGATCGAGCATACGAATCAGCCGAACTTATATCATACGGGATATGGTCCGGCTTGTGGGACTATTGGAAGTGGGCTTACTCCTGGTGACCGTGTTACCTAAAACCGTGCCGACCTGCACCATCCGATCGAGAAATCTTTTTGCCGGTGCAAAGTTTTCCTTTGTCACAGTCCAGCACCAAAGGAAGACAAAGCAAGGCTCGGATACCGGTATTGGTGTCATCTTGGGATGCGAAGCGATAGCGTCTCCGCTGAATTCATCTGGGAAATCATCATTTAAGATCTTTTCGATTCCGCCTAAGAGAGTTGCGGCTTCGGCGAGGTAAAAAGCAAGGAAGCCTGCATACAAATCAGGCACAGGGTACACCTTGACTCGAAGCTCCGTAATAACACCGAATGTGCCTGCCCCCGCGCCACGTAGCGCCCAGAGCAATTCCGGATCTTGGTCAGTGTCGACAACATATCCCCCTGCCAAGATTACTTTAGCCCCGAGGTCGACCCCGAAACCGTATGTTCCAACGTAGAAGCCATATCCTCCACCACATGAGACATACCCCACAGATTTTACTTGCCCCGTCGGTGTGAATAGGCCGTAAGAGTCTAGGGTTTTTCGTAGGGCGCCTGCCATCACCCCTCCCCCGGCCCACTCGTGCGCTGTTTAGATCCGGTTCAACAAAAACGGAATCCATCGCGCGCATGTCAATAAGGATACCCCCACTGATCATCGAGCGGCCGAAGAAATCATGACCGCCGGAGCGAACAGAAAATGAGATAGCCTTCGTCATGCAAATATGAACCAATTGCGAGATTTCATGTTCTGTTTGAGGCCGAACACAAACCAGCAGTTGCTCGCCCAGGGAGCGATTGTTTACCTGAAGGATATCCCAAAATTCCACACTGCCTCTTGTATAAAACGACAGGCTAGGAATGAGACCCCCTCAAGTCGTTCACGATGAACATATCAATGTTAGCCATTTGGTGTATTTCTGTTCTGGTGAAGAAGTCAAGACTGGGAAGATACATTTTCCGAGACGAAAGACCGAAGTTATATCTGAACGGCCAAGCCCCGGCATGATGGCATTGAAAGTTCCACTCCATGGGTCCAGTGGGGCTCCTTGGAATTGGACCCATTTGTCCATGACCCCAAACCCCACTTACTTTTCCGTTTGATCGAGAAGCACTTGGGTCACTAAGGAAAAATGCTACCAGATTTGACGGTAATAATTAGGAACCACTCTAAGTTCAGTAGAAGCTGGTAGCAGTGCCTAGTAGCGTTCCTCACCTCGCCGCCAGGTGGGGTCGCTACTAGGCACCACACTATATATCGGCAAAAGGCCCAGAATGGAAAGTGGGGACTTCACTTTATTTTGTCACACTATTGCTTAGTAAGAGTGACGATTAGGAACACTATATAAGATACTTACTATGGATCCAGGAGACTAAAATCATGAGAAATCTTGCGGGAACCTTTCCTTATTTACCCTCTCCCAATCAGCCTATGCAAAGGACGCGTCGTACAATGGATTCCTTGGATCAGATAGTTGCTCAATTTATGAAGCCCAACGGTCCCAACCATCGCCCACTGCAAGGACCTATTACCCTGGGCGCTGTGAACAAAGACGGTAAGTCCGGAAATTCGGTACAAAAATCGTCAATGACCATTAGGCTTGACTAACGTTCTCCGTGCAGGCACGTTCGAGTACGTGAAATCATTTGACTGTGCCAATGACAAGAATATTGAGCAACCCTCGGGTAAACCGATCTATCACATCGCGTCATGCACCAAACTTATCACGACAATTGCAGTCCTGCAATGTGTCGAAAAGGGCCTATTGGCGTTAGACAGCGACATCTCCAATATCCTCACCGAATTCCAAAATCCGAAGGTTCTTGTCCGGTTTGACGAGGACGGAGACCCTGTCTTGGAAGATAGCAAAGGCGTTGTAACGCTTCGGTAAGGAAGCCATTAGGTTAAGCAGGAGGCGTGATTAACAGTCTAACACCTCTGTCATAGTCATCTACTAACTCATTCGAGCGGAATGGCATACGGATTTGAAAATATGCATCCCGATCTGGCTCGGTTAGAGAAATTGAGAAACCGCAAAACACTTGAGGGCGGAACAGTTGTAAGACATCCGAGTGACAGCCCCAACTTCGCACTTCTACTAGAGATATTTGGGTTCGACATTACTCAGCAAATTGTTGATGCGATGTACAGGCGGAATCTTTCGAACCCATACTTATACGCCATCCAGGGGAGAAATGGGAGTACTCCCCTGGTATTGATTGGGCTGGAAAAATGGTTCGTCTACCATGAACATTCATTCCTCCTGGTTCCTAACGATTTTCTTAATTCATCTCAGGTCGAACGAGTCAACGGTGGCATCAAACTAGGTGATTATATGCAGCACCACATCTTCGATCCACTCGGCATCAACGACATCACTTTTTATTCCGACCGCCATGACATACAAGAGAGGCTAGTGCAATGCTGGGAGCGCTCAGAAAGTGAGGGCTTGAAGAAGGTCCGTTTGAGCAAGCGGCCGTACCCTGCTAAAGAACATTTTGGTGGTGGCGGGCTGTTTGCTAGCGCCACGGATTTACTGAAAGTATATGGAGCTATCTTGCGAAAGGATAAAAAGGTTCTGGGTAAAGAGATGGTCGATTTAATGTTCAAGCCACAATTGCAACATACAGTTGGACTTGACAATTTATCAGACAGCCATCCATCTTACAGGAATAGTATCTTGAACTCGATCCCAACCTCGACACCAATCAACTTTGGACTCGGAGGTCTGCTCAACTTGCAATCCGTGGTAGGACACCGAGGTTCGCATTCGCTGACGTGGTCGGGCATGGCAAACTGCTATTGGGTAAATCTTTTCTCCCAATTGAATCTTGAACATACGCTAATACGGTGCTACAGTGGATAGATCCTCGTAACGGCATCGCTGGAGTATATCTCTCACAGATGATTCCCTCCGGTGAGCCGGACGCAATTGCGCTTCTGTCAAAGTTTGAAGAGACAGTTTACTCATCTGTCGCTAGTAAATAGCATAGAAATCAGTGCTAAGTTACCCGCATACTCAATCCAACGCGACTGCCTCGTTTTATGTAATGATTGGTGCCGCTATAAGCATGTCTTAGTTATCAGAGTCTTCATTAGTCAAGCCTGCGTGCCGAAAATGGCCTCTAGCATTAGCTTATCTCGCTCCAACATCATTAATACAACGTTCGAGAAAGAAGTCGAATTCTTGGTCGGGATCATCTGCGTAGTAGATCCAATTGCGTCTTATAAGGGCTTTGAGTTCGGCGAAAACTCTTTAATTGGGCTTAGGTCTGGCGAGTACGGGGACAAATAAACTCCCGCATTAGCACATAGCTGGGCAATCCGTTCGGAGTGGTAGAACGATGCATTATCTATAACAAGAACAGACTTTAGCTCAGGCCATCTTCTATAATGACAAATAAGTTGATCAATAAAGTCCTCGAACACAACGGTATCGGTTGAGCCGCGAAAGACGCGAGAGAGTACAATGCTATCCTAAGCATAAGTAGGCAGGATTTAATAACGTTCGTCACGATGAAATTGTGACACCTATCGCGGCGAAATAGATCCCGAATCCCACTATAGCTGTACTATATCTCCTCTACAACCAGACCTGCGTGACGGAAGTGTCCCTCTGAACTTTCACCCCTTGCACCAACAGTGTCAACACACCATTCGAGGAAGGTATCGAATCCTTGAGCCGGATTTTCTTCGTAGGAATGCCAATGCCGCCGAATAAAGGTTTTTAATTCAGCAAATAACTCCTCAATTGGATTCAAGTGGGGTGAATACGGGGGCAAATACACCAGCTTGACACTAGCTTCTAAACATATCTGTTCTATTCGGTCGGAGTGATGAAAGGAAGCGTTGTCTATGACTAAAACAGATTTTGGCTCGGGCCATTTCCCACAATGTTGCAGAAGCTGCTCAATAAAGTCTTCAAAGACAGATGCATCGGTTGACCCTTGGAACACCCGAGATAGAACAATGCCATCTTGGGCATAAGGTGGCAGTATCTGATATCGCTTATCACGAAGAAATTTGGAAACTCGGACTAGTGCTATACCTAGTAGGGACTAACCCGTTTGTCTAAGCCTATCCTTAGATCACATCTAGACTCATCCATATAGACAAGTTGGTAAGACCGGAAGTCCGAGATATAGTGAAGGTATTCGTCACGAAGGTCTAGGTTGCGCTCACGGGCCTTGACACGGGCAGTCTTCTTCGATCAGCCTTTGGACATTAGGGCGCAGCTGATGCTCGATTTCGTTGCTTGAAGAGCGAATTCGTGTCACAGAAAAATCGCCATCTCTTCGAGGTATAAGGTCGGTTTTTTAAGCACGTGATCGCACCAAGGCTCGAGCATGACTGGAGTGATGCTACGGGGTCATCCACCCTTAATAGGCGGTGTTTTAATGTTGCCAAGCATTCGTATATTGGAAGAGATTCTCAGGATGGTACTCTTGTGGCAGCCAGCAGCCTGTGCCATCTGACGTACTGTACAGTCCCACTACCCCGCAAAAACCCCAGATTTGGTGTGGAGCCCGGACTCCACAACATTCCACTGTTGTCAGTTTGCCCTAAGAGTGTGTTAGCTACAGGCATGAATAGTGTAGAGAGTCTGTTCATGTTATAATAATAATTCGAGCTAAGACTGTTCCTGGGGCATTCAGGGGAAGTAGCCTATGGCAGAGACATCATCCCACTATGGCCCCCTATTTGTTTGTGTTACGATGTACACAGGTCTTGAGTAGTCCCCGGTACATGGGTACCTAAAAGGCTTGCGTAGACGTGTCTCGGTACTTTGGTCTATCTGTGACGCAAAACCTGACCAATTATCATCTGTCAAGGCCACCCCAGGCGACCTGGATGCGCCCAGCGACAATGTGGGGAGAGGGCTAGCCGGAAAGGATCGACTGGCACCGCCTCCACTGTCACTATCCACTATCATATATGAGGTTGCCATCATCATCCACGCTCATCGTCTCTCCTCATATCCTTTCGATAGTTACTTCTGTAGTTAGTAGTGTACCTCGATTTTGACAGCTCTGCATCCGTGGAACCAAGCAGCGATATAGATCATAATCACGACATTCAGTCCAGGCTATACTGGACCAAGGGGTCATGGAAGCTGAAACTCTGGCTATTGCCTGACGCATCACAGCATACTCCATTGGCTTGCCACCGTGCAGGGATGTCCCAGATGTCACTGTTCATTCAGTCCAAACTGACTCCCAACCCCGCATTCTGTCAGATGATGTTTACCTATATAAGTCCTCTTGTACTTGGTCTCCTTACTTGAGTACTTTGTCTGCTCTCTGAAGAAACTCTCCCTCCATCAAACCACACCAACTTCTATCATCAACTCAAACCTTTTCATCAGCTACTCATCCCACAACACACATCCAAGATGTCGGCACCAGTCGGCCCTATTCTGGCCCAGCTCCAGATGCTCCCTGCCCGCTCGAGGCAGGGTCTCAACAACCTCCGTCAACGTCTGTTCCAGCAGGGTATGTTCTTCCCGCGCGTCTTCCGACCGACTCATCCACCTTCCCCTTGATGATCTACCAGAACTAATATGTGTAACAGGTGAGAAACCACCCAAGGAGAGCAACTTACTTCGCACCTCGTTCAGAGTCCACCGTCCCGTTTGGGTCACTGCTGGTGGCGGCCTGTACACATCCATGGCCGCTGTGTATCTCACGATGCGATACCTGAAACGGGTTGCTCGGTAATGATGAAGATATCATTACCTCTCAGCGCTTGATACTGTCTCAGCACCCGCATCCAAATCTTCTACCCTTCAGATACATACCCCTTTCTTCACCTGTCAACATGGACTCATTTCGACCAGCTGTGTCTGATCGGGGTTCGTGGCTCGAGAACCTTCCTCTGTTAGGCTGTGCCTCTTCTTTCTTTTGTTCGGTCGGCCATATTGAAAGTCGCCATAGAATGGCAACAGGCTTGGTGTTTTTGCTTTTTGGGCTACTTTACCCTCCTATGAATATTACCACAATCATTATCTTACAACTACCAATACCGTAAGTAGGCAGCCAGTATCTAGACTAGGAGATTGTTCTCTCATTATCCTTTGTCATCTCCTTTCTATTAGAATCCTAGAGTTGTTTGTGTCTTGGTCATAATTACATCGCTCAGCCGACCGTGTCGCACAACGGCCATTATAGCTGAGGACGCAGTCATGATGACTAAATGACATGATAGTCTTGAGAAGACAACTGTTTACAATTATGAAGGCCAGTCTGGACTAAAACATGACCTAGCTTGCCATTAAGGCAATAGGGACTGGCTATCATGCGATGCTATGACCTAGTCTATCCAGGGGGTGTACGAAAGTGACAATAAAACCGGGCGACAAAGTGTAACTGTGACATTCCAAAAAAGTACTGTATGTATGCCCAAACAAACCCTCCAAAGTACTCAGTACTTGTTGACATGTATATCAAAGTATACAAAGCGATAGATCCACCTTCGGCTGAAGAATCCACCCCCAGGTTCTGAATATCTCCACTTCACCATCGCCGAAAGGAATCAGGAGCAGACTCAGCCCTCCCTTCGGCGATAACTCAGGCTGACATGCTCCAGACGAGCCTATCATATCTCTTCTCTTACTCAGGGAGGCGTCATCGCATTTGACTGGCCTATAATATTATCGCATTTGGATGGGTGCATGCGTTAGTTTCTGTTATGTGGCTTGGCTACCCCGCGTTTGGTTGTGTATGTGTTTCATTACCTCGTGGGCTGATAGTTACATATTATTCTGTTTGCTAGTATTTGTGATTTGAGAAGCATTTTGAAATCATAAATTGAGTATAGCACTAGGTACTTTGTTAGGAAAGAGGGTAAGTTTTGACTGGCCAAAACGAACGTTGGGACATCCTTCCGTTTATCTTGGATAAATGAGTACTGTATCATACCCGTCGGCTGTATAATTTAGAGTGCGATTGCTCTTTCTTTATATTCGCCAAATGGAGTGGGCGACCATTCCTTCCCTTAGACGGCTAATGCGTTAAGATGCGACTTTTGTACATGCATCAATGAGATGCTGAGACATTAGCGTGTAACGAACTCGTGCATGACAAGGGATCCCTCATGCTCCCGGGATTCCTGCTCAGGAGGGCAGGAACAGATGTAAAGCGAGCACATGCTTTCTCTTTTTTTTTTTTTTGGTTGAAATACTTTCCTACATGTGACTCCACTGATCGCCCACCAGCAACAATCTTTCGAGGAATCTACTCGTCGTTCCCCGGAGCTACATCATTCACTCCCTATCCATAGCCTAAAATAAGGAAGTCACTATTGTGATACAGGGCTAGATACTAGCTAAAGCAATACGCGAGGGATTACACATGTGCTTAAGGCATATGCCCACCTAAAGTCGCGACCCGACTTTGAAAACCATTGTCCCTAGGTACGCGCAAGGCCTTAATCAGCCACGGGTGTTTGGTATGGGTTTGTATCCGCTGGATCCGATTTTGACACGGGGATATGCGGTTGTAACTGCGGTATATTGGATATGTGTTGCTGGCAAATACTCTTGCGGTCGTGGTATTCGTTCTTTTTGTCAAGAAGGTTCGAAGATATACGGCAAAGTCTTGGTTGGGGTAACTTCGCAGAAGGAACCCCTAGAGGGCTATGAAGCGTTAAAAATAATTAAATGTTATTCTTCATAACCCAAATCCACTAATGTCTTGATAGGGCCAGATCCCCTGAAGCCATGCAAGGGTGGATGGGTTTCTGTACGATCCGGAAACATCCATCTCGGTGGAGGTGATTTGTTCCGGCATCAACCCTTCATCCCACGACTTGAGGTTCATTTTCTCCCCAGCACAAGGTTCTCCGGCCAATCTGCACGTTTGAATCGCTGACTTCTCTTCTCGTAGCAGATCAGCACGCTGAATCAGCTCAAGCAAAGGCAGTTCGGGTTCACCACCCGTGCGTTGGGCACCATGTTTCCACAGGGAAGTTGTTTTGGTCACAACCTCCCAGGCACGATCTGTCTCAGGACCGGGTGGGTGAGAGCTTAACTCGTCGAGAATGTACGAAACGGCCTCCTTTGGCTTGTAAGCCCTGCAGAGCCGGTTCCATTGTGCGGTAACATCATTGGTTTGTAGGTAATATGCGAATTCGACAAGTTCGACGGCAGTGTGAAATACCGAGTCCTTGTATGGTGGTTGCGGCTCACCTGGGTCTGAGGGTAAAGATTGGGAGTGCACCGAGACCCATGACTTCGATAAGTGAAGGCGAGTGATTGTGGCTGATACCCAATGGATTGGAATCCTCAGGTCAAAATAATTGAGATATTGTTCGTGGAGAGTTTTCCCCACGGACTTGATCCGGCCTTCTCGGTCTTCTAGCGAGGTGACTGAATTCAAGGGCTGTGGCGATAAATACACTTCCTTGATCATGAAACATGTTATAATGCACAGGGTGATGTCCGTGGAGCCCTTTTTCTCAGGCGGGAGCTTGAGCATGAGCGAATTAAGCTCGTATTCGTTAACGTTGGCTGGAAACTGAACATCGAATGTCCCTGGCCTGATTTGCATATCGGTGCCTTGATCCTCTGAGCAGAGCAAGTCCAGGATGCAAATATGCCACCAGAGACGTCGACGGATCTCCGTGTCGAATGGTGATAACCCGGTTTTCTTTCCATCGCGGTGGATACTCTGTGACTGTGCAAGGCGTATGACCACGGCAGACCCAGCCCAGACAAGTCTTGTATCTCCATCGACGCGCGCACAGAGGAGATAGAGTACAGCAGCTTGGAGGGTTAAAATCCCAGGGAATTTGACAAAGTCGGCTCGGCTCAGCGCTTGGTCTACCGCGATCTCATAGGCTGATTTTGCCTTGTGGTATTCCAGACCCAGCTCCGACTGAACTTGATCGGGATCCAAGCTAACCACAGCAGCAAAACAAACGGAGAGCAGAAGTGCTTCGCTAGCGGGATCAATGTTTAGGCCCAATGACGCATCCTGCACAATTTCGCCCGTGATGGCCAGATGAAGGACTGCAATCAACGGCGCGACATTTTTTTGATATATACGCCATAGAGCCTCGATCTGTAACGGCTGAAGATAATATTGTCGAAATGAATCATAGGACCACAAGGGATTGCTATGCCCAAGAAATCCTCCACTTGGTAGACCAGAGTGACCTGGATTAATTCGTGATGAAACAAGACTTTGATCATCCCTCAAACTGGATAACTTGCCTAATTGCTGTTCATCTCTATCCGGTTCAGGATGCTTTTCTCGTAGCTGTTGGACTTCTGCCTCTAGATTCGTCAAGCGCGCAAGCAGTTCGCCTATAGGGGGTCGATTAAGGGTACGTGGCGCGCGCTTAGGGCCTGGAAAGGCACATTGATCCCCTGCCTTGACGCATGCACCACAAGGGCTGTTTCGGTCGCATCGCACTTTTTTCTCATTGCATCGTTTGCAGCTTCGTTTGTTGCGTGTGGCTGCAAATTTCCCGTGGTCTCCATCTGACATAGCGGAAATATGGCTCGAGCAGCCCAAATACAAGCTGAGATCTGGCGATTATTACCAATTATATGGCCATCGGAAAGCCGAAGACGCGAGAGATGCCAGGTTAGGTTAACATTTCAGCATTCCAGATATGCAGGGGTGGCGGGCCAATCGTTGTGGTTGATGTGGAGCTCGGGATTAAGACCAATGCCGATGCTTACCTATACTTGCGTATATTATCAATCTCTTGGTAAGATATCCTAGAGTTTATTTAGCTATAAGTACTTTTAATTGATCCACCATATTACCGAATATCTTGAAAATACTATACCTTTCACCGACCTTGGAGATATCTTCACTGCCAACGATATTTCGTCCGCCTCACCCCCACCGATATGTCGAGAACCGTTCTGATCACCGGTGCGACCGGCAAGCAAGGAGGAAGTCTCGTCGCGGCTCTTCTCAAAGCAAAGGCGGACTTTGAGGTTCTTGCCGTCACGCGTGATGCATCTTCTGGTGGAGCGCACAAGCTCCAGGCAAAGTCCCCGAACATCAAACTAGTCGAAGGCAATCTAGATGAGCCCGAGAGGATCTTCGACAATGCGCACAAGGTCACTTCGCATCCTATCTGGGGTGTTTTTAGTGTCCAGGTGAGTTGTTAGTGGCTAAACCTGTGCATCAGACCTAATCACATCTTAGGTTCCTGTCGCTGGTGGGTCAAACCAGGAAGCCGAAGAGAGACAGGGCAAGGCTCTTGTCGACGCAGCTCTCAAGAACAATGTCAAGCACTTCGTCTACTCATCCGTTGATCGCGGTGGCGACTCTTCTTTTGACAGTTCCACGCCTATCCCTCATTTCATCAGCAAGCACAAGATCGAACATCATCTGGTCGAAAAGGCCAAGGGCAGTGGAATGACTTGGACCATTCTACGCCCTGTTGCATTTCTCGAGAACTTCACCCCTGATTTCTTCGGCAAGGTCTTCGCCACCTGCTGGAAGAACACAGTCAAGGAAAAGCCGCTCCAACTAATCTCGGTCGGCGACATCGGCTTCTTCGGGGCGCAGGCCTTCATGTACCCGAACCAGTACCAAAACAGAGGTGTCTCTCTGGCTGGTGATGAGCTCACTTACGATGAGATGGCCAAGATCTTCATGAGTAAAACTGGAAAATCTGTCCCAATGACGTTTGGCTTTGTTGGCAAGGGCCTGATGGCAGTTATGAAGGACTTCGGCTACATGTTCCAGTGGTTCTATGATATGGGGTATGGAGCGGATATTTCGGAGCTGAGAAAGGTGCATCCTGAGTTGAAGGATTTCGGTACTTGGCTTGAGAAGGATAGCGGCTTTAGTACAAAATAGCGGGACTGAGTCTCTCAAATTGTGCACTAATTATGGTCTGGTCTCTATTTGAATGTCTTGTGTTTTTCTTTCTCAGATCTTTTTGTATTTTGTGTATGGGGACAATAGCGATTGATAGCATATGGGCAACCTGATGTTACATTGGTCTAGCGGGAGATAAGTGTATGTGCAATACCTGAAACTCAGGAAGGCCACGATCGTCTACGTAGTTAATAGTTCATTTCAACTCTGAATCAAATCTCATTGCGAGCACCGGAATTACGATACAGTACACTTGATCAGCTTTAGAGCAAAGAACCAGAGAATAGAGTCTTTTAATCTCTCTTATTGAGAGATAGAGGGTCTACTATTTGGCTATAGATGTAGTCGTGCCTATTCACGAATAACTCCTGAATTATAACACCCAAGCCTCGCAATTCTGTAAGTCACGTCAACCATTTGACAACACTTCCATTTTGTACATAAAAGGTTATCATCAGTAACTGCATTAGCACTGCACAAAATTTCCTTCAGTGGAGGGTATCACAATTGCTAATTGCCGTAAATTTCAAGTTGATGCATGCCCCCGCCGGAGTCACGCGGAGCAAGCACAAAGAACCCTATACCCCAGTGCTTGTTTCCCCGGAATTGCCAAGCTTTTTCTAAACTCCGGTGGAGCCCAGAGTGCCGTTAATTTGCTCTTTTCTCCTACTACTTAGCCTCTGGATGGTTGTAGTAAATGCACCCTTATAGATTACGATCTATGTGAAACTAGGCCACGTTGAAGCACTAAGTGCAACGAGAACAAAATATTAATGAATATTAACCTGCTTCACGTTAGTTTATATCTACCCTGCTCCGCCCTCCATTCTCCGCCCTTCATTAATTTGGGCGTGGCCACACCCGCCATATCTAGCATACCACGGCCCGGCGGGGAAGTGTCGAAGCTCTCGGTCTCCGAAATGATATGTTCACCAAAAGACATGTTCTCAAAGCGAGATCTCGTGTTGTACATCGGAACCATCTGATCAAAAACGAACCTCCGGCGGCGGAGTTCCGTCAGCCCTATGCGGACTTCACACTTTATATAACCAACTCCCCCGCATTGCAAGAAAATTGGGTCCGCGAAGCTTGAAGCTCCGAACAGGTTGATCACTCTTTTTTGCGTTTCGCTGTGATAACCCGGTCCACTTTTATCTCACATTCTACCGGCAAGCGCCATGACCACAGAAAAGATCGTCCCGACCGATCGGGAGCTCCACAATATTGAGCTGAACAATCCCGATGTTATCGAGCTTACTCGTCAGGCAGAAGAGAGTGATGCGGCCGATCGGTTGTTGACGGTACGCCAGGCCTTGATCAAGTACAAGAAAGCAGTATTCTGGGCCATGTTCCTATCTACGAGTTTGATCATGGAAGGGTACGACTTGGTTATTGTTAGTATTTCCTCATGCTCCCCAAGAGGGTCCCTTGCTGACACCTGGATTCCGCAGATTACATCGTTCTACGGCCAGTCGCAATTTATCAATCGCTTCGGAGTGGCAGATGCCGCTACTGGGGTCAAATCTATCCCTGCATCCTGGCAATCCGGTCTCTCTAACTCATCGGTCGTTGGTCAACTTGCCGGACTACTCGTCAATGCATACACCCAAGATCGTTTTGGCTGTCGGCCCACTATGATGTTCTTCATGTGTTGGATGATGGTCATGATCTTTATCCCTGTTTTTGCACCATCGTTGCCCATCTTGGCTTGGGGAGAGGCAATGTGTGGTGTTTCATGGGGTGTTTTCCAGGTAGGCCAGAATGAACAAAGAATCAAGGCTCCAGAACTACATGACACATCGAGCTGACATCGTCGTTCCTCAGACTCTGTCCACGGCCTACGCATGCGAAGTCGTTCCCACCGTCCTTCGGCCATACGTTACCGCCTATGTCTGCATGTGTTGGGGAGCTGGTATTCTCCTCTCCTCCGGTGTTGTCCGAGCTGTCGCAAGCGTGGACGGTGATCTTGGCTGGAGGCTTCCATTTGCATTGCAATGGATCTGGCCAGTTCCTTTATTCATTGGCACATATTTTGCACCCGAATCCCCCTGGAACGCAGTCAGACGAGGCCAATTTGATATCGCTAGAAAGGGTCTGTTGCGGCTTCATCAAGATACACCAGAGAAGGAACGTGAGGTAGATGCTACTCTTGCTTATATCAGGTACACCACGGAGTTGGAAAAGGCAGAGACTGCCAACGCGAGCTTTCTGGAATGTTTCAAGGGGCAAAATTTGCGGCGGACTGAAATTGTCTGTATACTCCCCTTCTCCTAACAAATTATACCATGTCGCTAACAACGAGGGTTCCCAACAGAACTGTGTTGTATGGGCAGCTCAAATTCTCTGTGGGAATGCCCTCCTCGGATTCTCCGTTGTCTTCCTCGAGGCTGCAGGTTTCAGTGAACTCCAGGCCTTCGATGTCAACATTTCTCTTTCTGCGTGCTATATTATCGGCGGTATTATTTGTTGGCTTATCTTCCCTCACCTCGGTCGCGCAACCATCTATATGGGCGGCATGGCTTTCATGTTTGTCTGCCTTATGGTTATTGGTGGACTCGGCTGTGTCGACTCAAAGTCTGCGCAGATGGCCATTGGAGTGTTATTTGTGATTTCCACCTTATGCAACATGATTACAGTTGGACCAGCTTGTTATCCCATTGTTGCTGAAACACCCTCTGGGAGACTAAGATACAAGACGATTGTCATCGGAAGATTCGTCTATAATCTTACTGGTATTGTTCATAATATCATCACGCCTCGCATGATTTCTGCGACCGGTGAGTTCCATCGCATCCTCATATATTCAACTCCCCTGAATCCCATTGGCTAATATAGCATATCAGCCTGGAATTGGGGCGCTAAAGCCGGATTCTTCTATGCTGGAACGAACCTCCTTTGCAACATTTGGTGCTGGTTCCGTCTGCCAGAGACAAAAGATCGCACGTTTGGCGAGATTGACTTGCTCTTTGAGAATCGGGTCCCAGCAAGAAAATTCAAGTCAACTAAAGTTGAACGTAAGTAACTTGTGGTATTCTGCTGACTGATTGAGGCAGAGCAAAATAGCTAACGCAATTTGATAGAATTCGCTCTTCAAGCAGATATTAAGGTCAAGTCTGAATCAGCTGGTGGTCGGGCTGAACATGTGGAAAGCTTTGCCTGATGTTGTGCTCCTATCGTTTGTTGTTTAAGCCATGCTTAATAATTATTGGTTGAACAGATGTCTTGAATAAAGACCACTCAATAATAATATACAATTCTGATGAGTAGAGACAGAGAGAGGAGAGAGCGGATAAGAGAGAGAGATACTGGGGATGAAAACAAGGTTCTATCGAACATGATGGAGCAACTTGAACAGATTCAAGCTTCGCGTCTTTTCTTGGTGAGGGCTATCGCAGTAGAACGGACTGAACGCCGTTTGCAAATAGCAACTTTGCATAGATATAATGAAACCACTCAAGAAGTTTTCCCCCTGATGGCTGATTCTTCTGAGGGTTGCAATGGAAGCCCTGTAGCTCGAGCTGCACCAGGGGCTTATCGTTCGCGCGCCGTAGTCGAGTTATCTGGAAACGGTGACAACCCGCAAACTCGAACTCATCTGACCCGAAGCCATAATCGACGTAGCTGGGACGCTGTTCTGATGATTCCAGGGATATTTGCTTGTCCAGTACTTTAAATGACCCGAAAAGACAGCTGCCCACAGGTGGTAGGTTGATATTAGAAAGATCGGAAGTATTCCATATCAGTGATGCACTTGGATCATCCTTGAGGCCTATTACATTAATATTAGCAACTGAACAAGCTAACCTAGACAGCTGCTCACCCGTATAACGCGCTGGTAACAACCTCCAACCCCCACTCGCAGTGCAGTCCTTTCGAAGGCGAAGACAAAGCCACCGAAGAAACCACGACTGAATAAGGCTAGTACTTCCTCGTCGCTGAGTCCCGCTACCACAGACTCTGGAAATACCTGGCTGACGGTATCTGTGCCCGCTACATGATGGTGTGGATTAACAAATTGAAAGGAGGATGACGCGAGAAACTCGGATCGCACAGACACAGTAGATTGAGAAAGGCCAAGAGATTGAAAGAAATAAGGACGAGGAAACCACCAGGAAGCCATGTCCGGGAAGAATATTATGTACAAGAGTTAGTTGAGGGTGTGTGTCCGCTCCGGGGAATGATCGCCAATTGATGAGGGACAAAAGTGTGAATATTTGAATAAGAAGAATTACTGATTCTAGTTCTATTTAATACTCGGGCAAATAGCTGAACATGAGTCAGATTTGTTTGGACCCGATAAATAAACGGAAGGTTGTGGACCCGGTACGACCCGGAGAGAAGTGTAGCCTCAGCGCTGCTATTGACAGATAGACATGAATTTTTGAAAATGAATTGGTAGATATATTCCAACGAGCGATTCGTGGTCTCCGGATAGAAAAAGAAAACAATAAGCACAAATGAAAATCTGTATATGCGACTATATAAACAGGATAACGCCTGCCGGTGGAGTCTTTCCTACCTGGGCTGTCACCGCTTTTATGAGGGCGCTCAGGCTCGGGATCACTGAGTAGATGTCATCACGGGCGGATGCTAGGGCCTAGTATATATACCGCTACAACGTACAATCGGCGTTCCGATTGTTGTTACGATCTTTTGGCCGAGTGGCATAACGGGTCATGTAATCCTTTAGGTGTAGCGGCCTAACGTGTGCGTGAGATTAGAGGTGTATCATGGACGAGCCGTCACAAGAAGTATTATATAAGAGAACGTAGCATCAAATCTTGCGACCTGATATTCTGGTTTTTTCCTGATAACGCACCGGCTTAGCCTCTGCTTTGCGCCCCAGAGGTTAGCCTGTGGTGACTCTACCAAGTACCACACCAATCAAACTAGGAAACATTGGAACAGCTTGGAGTAGGAGCAGTACTATCACAACAGATCTTGTTTTGTCTGCCAGTTGTTTCAAAGGCACAATTTCCGTTGGTAGAGATGATGTCACATCTTCCAGTGAGCATGAATAGCAGGTTGTTCTATAGCTCACAACAGAAGCATGCTCCTTAGCGGGCTTTCGCATACACCGCTATTGCAGGTCTGACTATCAGGACACTGTCAAAATTGTGAGTGTGTATAGGAATAGTCATGGACTCTGAAAGCTCAATGTAGTTAAGACTTACACGGTTGAAGCAGGAGCCACAGTGGAATCGGTCAGTGGATGTATTAATACATAGGAAATTGCAACAGGTTAGACCATCTGGACACTTTGATTCAGTCCATATGTGTCAACAATATCCCTATATATGACGCACGATGGCTGAGAACTTGAGACTTACAAATCTTAGCGGTTCGAAACAATCAAAGACCTATAAGCCCCTTCTTAGTGGAGACACTCAGCACGCAAGACATCCTATGGTGCATACTCACGCTGATATCAGTGGTGTCGTCTATGCTACTGACAGTGTTGATTTTACTGAAAGGAATTGCTACAACAGTTCCCGGGAGTGAAATCATTATGGCTGTAAACAAGTCAGGACCTAGGCTTGGATCTGGCTATGCATGACTGTATGCAATGTAAGGAAGCAGGGAGACATGCTCAATAATTAACCTGCAGGTAGTAAGGGGGTTTCCATTGATAATGAAGAAGAATAAGAGTCTTGATCAGGTTAAGACTTACTGCAGAGAAGCAAGGTGATAAAAGACCACCGGGCCATTGGAGATGCTGTGCACTGATGGGATGAGCAGAAAGGCTTTGATCGTTGTGTCAGTAGATGTCAAGTAATGTCTCATAAGATCAGTTGAGCCTTCTTTACAATCCAGCAATAGACTAAAGCCCAATACTTATATTCTCGACCTTGTAGGCTAAGTCTGGACTGTGAGTATAGAAAAATGAACGCACATGATAACCATATCACCAGCTCGACTTGTTGTCTATACCCACACATACCCTAGTAGTGGGTGTTGAAGGTCATACAAGTACTCGAACGGGTTGGAGGAGTGAAAATGACTGGGTGCAATGTGGGATCCAAATTCCACATATGTTGGACTGTGCAACCATTATTCATCCCCTTCCCATTGGAAAAAAACATCATTCTGAAAAAATACCTCCAATAATTCTTTGAAGGCGACTCTATTCTCAGCGAGTTTTGACTGCAAGGGATTCCGAGGAATATTGGATACTTCTTGGTTGATAGTATCAACTTTCTAAGCAACAGCTTTGCCAAAAAGAAGGCTGTGCCTCACGACCTGTCCGCCCCATTGTGAACCCTCAATTCCCCCTACCACGGCATATACTTTATCCCGCCTCTCTCTACTTCTCAACACACAAGCTACATCTGCTAGAAACATAGGAAATTCCCTGAGCTCATGTTCCTTGACTCTACAACATTTCATTCTTCCATTTGCTTCACGTTGTTACGGCATTTCGGACAGTATTGAAGAAACAGTTCCTTGGAATGCAACACTGTCCTTCCTGTACATGTGACTGTCGCCATAGCATTGCCTTGCCGAGGTAATCAACTGGCTTTATCCTACCCGTTTGGGGCTGCCATATCAACCATGGGTTACGAAGAGTCGCCAGCTCGATCAAAGTTGAGTATAACTGGTTGCACGGCCGAGCCTCTACTACTGACACCTAACGGCGAGCGAACAGCACGATCGTCTCTCCAAGAATGGTAATAGACGGAGCGGAAGCGCAACAGGGATTAGAATCGCCGATCCAGTTTCGCAGAGTTCTCTTACTTGTCGACAATCTTGCACCCATTGCAACATTTTTCCTTTTTTGACTACTGTCCAGCGGCTCCCACGCACGCACGGTGACAATTGGTGTTAGCTAGATAGAACGTTCGCCCTGCCTAGTACAGCGAGCGTCGGGAAAGCCTCGCAATTCGTGACCAACGATGCTCGCGCCACCTTCGAAGCTGCGCCTTGGACCTTTATTTACATGCAAGGAATGTTGAAATGGTCTGGGACCTGCTCGCACGGCGCAGTTTGTAGCTTGTCCTTGCGTTTACGGCCTTCGGAGTCTTCTCGAAAATCCTCCGGCTGATGGAGAGCAAAAAGATCCTTTTCCGCACGTACAGCGCCGTGAGCTTACAGCCCGGTGGCCCTTCGTCTTTCTTTCCGCTAATCCCACCATAGACATTCCTCGCAACGGAGAGTTCCGATAGCAATCGTAGAAATAGCTTCCCTTCATTGGTCTATCATCAGTACTATATATGTTCAGTCAAACATCACTAATTTAACCACTTCACATTCGCTTTCCATTTCTATCTCTCCTTTTTATTGGGGTTTAAAATATTTAAGGGGAAAAGAATGAATTTAAGCAGAATTAACATTTAGTTACTCCTAGAAATATCCTATTTCTGCTCGCGTAGAGTATTATTGTACATTTCAAACGCCTCCTTTCCGTCTAAGTAACCCATGGAAACACCATACTCATCACTCACAGATCGAAGAATTCCAGAAGCACACGAAGGTATATGCCAAACCCCGGAATCCGCTGTGCCAGGGGCGACCATACACCCATCTCATGCCATATCAAAGTCCCGAAATCCTGTACCAGGGCGACGAATTATCTCCGGCGAACTCTTGCTCAAATCCATTTAGTTTCAACATGGGATGGCACTGGCTCGCTACCAACACCATCTTCGGCTGCTACTAATTTTATCGCGCGGGGTTACGGAGTTTCGGCACTACTATGCCCTATAGAGACATGTTAGTATGAATGATCGTAGTGGCACGTCCCTCCTTGCCTTGTTTTTAGTCATTTGTATCCTTGCTATATCCACTTTCCTCACAAATAAGAGGCTGCAAACAGGCATCTAGGCCGTCGAGACAATTTCCCGGCAGTCCAAGGCCTGCCAACAAGGCACCTGTACTTTGCGTTGCCGCATATTTGATCCTCCCCAACGGTGTATATATATCCCTCACCTGAATGACTCGCATTTCTCCTCATGCGGGGATCGGGTGAAGACTGGTGATCCACCAACCGTTGAGGACCGTCGAGGCCTGTGTCCGCATGTCACCGAGATAGCCGAGCGATGGACGCTCTTGGCGCTTCTCGGTTGGCAAAGCTTAGCCCGATCAAGGTTCCCCCACTGTTTCTAGAAATAAATACACATGCCGTCTGTCATCTTCTGTGATAGTCGCGGTCGTGCGATTGCTACTGTCTCCTCGTTCGTCTGTGCAGCATAGACATCCATCCCATGACGTTCCAAACTGGGATTAGAGCAAAAGAAAGTGGGTGTGCTGGTTTTAGCTGCATGGATTGAGAACCTTGCTCCTCCGGAGGCCTTCCTTGCTTATACGCGAAAATGTGGATCTTATTCTGCTTTAATATAGGTGTTTCTCACCCTATGCTAATATTTGTATGCGGACGGATTGGCTGATAGTAAGCTTGAGCCGTGTTTACTTGGATGGTCTTCCCCATGAAGTGGACTCCTGTGTTTCTGAAGGACAATACTAACGTGGAAGCCTAGCATTCTTCAGCTCCAAGCTATATTCCACGCCTCACTTTAGTTAATTGTGGGGCCCAACACATGCAGCCCACACAATCTACAGTCTATTAATCTCTGACTGAAGCGATCCACACTACCCAGGTGGTATTGCTGTTTGACGCGGCAGACGACGGTACTATATCGCTTTCGGTGAGGGGTGACAGGACAGAGAAACTGTCTAGCCCCGTCATAATTTCTCCGTGTTTATCCCTTCTCCCCTCTCGGGATCATGTTCCCTGCCTATCCTGCAGCCAGTCAGCGTCTGTGTTTGAATGGCGATGTCCCGCTACCTTACCTCGTTCGGGGTCGCCATGAGGGGAAGCAACAGATCCACTGTGAGAACGTTGGAGAAGACCTGTCGGATGAGAAGGAACTAATGATACAGCACGAGAACATATGAGCTTCCTCTTACTGGTAGCCTGCAGTTAGCGACAGACATAAAAGGCCCATGGTACGCTGCTGTAGATCGAAGATATTTGGATTCGCCCCTCTTCTCAGTGTCTGTGTTGCATCTCAACCTATTGGGGCCATGAAAATGAAGATCACTCTTTTTGCCACACTCTTACATGTGCTGTCCCTAGTACAGGCTGCTCCAGCCCGAAGGAATAGCAATTCCAACCCCGGCCTTCGAGGAAGCGAATCGCTTGTTGGATATTCACCATCGGAACCCTCTGCTAGCAAATCAGCACCTGACATCAAATACACGCTACTTCCCGCACAGAAGGAAGACCCAAAAATTGGATCATATCTGGATTTTGAGAAAGCCGACAACCCCCAACCAATCCGTGGTTCGAGTGGTGGAGATGACCCGGGCCCGAGTACGTTTGCGTGGAACTATTTGATTTTGAGTCTGTATATCAATGCTGATACAATTTATAGGGAATTATAATTATGACCGGATTAACAGTGATAAGCTGGCACCTCCTGGGACCGATCATGGACAGACAATCAATGCTCAATGGCCCATGGGTAAGTATATCTCCTGCGATTAGCATATCCATAAGGTGCTAACTACGCGATAGGACTGAGTCATAACAGGTGATTACCCTTTCTGGTATAATTATACCTACACTAATATCTCTCAAGGCTAGGAATCGAGAGTGCAGGTTGGGCTCGCCAAGAAAATACCGTCGTCATGCCGGACGCCAAAATGATGGCAGGAGTCGATATGAGGCTTGAGCCTGCTGCCTATCGTGAGCTTCACTGGCATGTGGCATCCGAATGGTCCTTAGTATTGAATGGTTCATGCAGAATTCAGGTATTGGATCAGTCTTCAGTCGGACTGCTACTTGGGCATTAATTAACCATGTCAGGCTATCAATGAGAACGGAGAGACATTTCTTGATGACTTGAACGCTGGCGATGTCTGGTTCTTCCCTCCGTGAGTATTCCAATAGATTCTGTATCCATTGTGTTGATATTTTATCGTTAGTGGTATTCCGCACTCCATTCAAGCGCTCGATGACGGAGTGGAGTTCCTTCTCGTTTTCGATGACGGAGACTTTAGTGAGGATAACACCTTCCTTGCCACTGAAGTCTTCCTTCACACTCCGGTAATATCTGCACGTTTCTATCATCAAGATCCTAAATACTAATTTCGCGTGCAGAAAGAGGTGCTTGCCAAAAATTTTGGACTGACCACGTCGGCATTCGATAATATACCCGATGATGAACTCTATATTTTCAAGGGAACACCAGCACCGGCAGACATTGAAGAGCAAAACGTGACAACATCTGCTGGACTTGTGCCTCGCACTCAGAGCTACTCTTATCACTTCTCAGAGCAAGAAGCTCATAATGTTGCCGGAGGGTCTGTGAAGATTGTCGACCCGATCAATTTCCCTATTGCTAGCAACTTCTCCGCTGCTATCGTCACTGTTCACTCTGGTGGCATGCGTGAGATTCATTGGCATCCCACCAGTGATGAGTGGACGTTCTTCATATCTGGTCAAGGCCGAGCTACTCTCTTCACGGCTCCGAATGCTGCAACCACCTTTGATTATAGAGCCGGAGATGTCGGATACTTCCCCAAATCTAACAGTCACTATATTGAAAACACTGGAGATGAAGATTTGGTTTTCGTGGAAGTGCTTCAAGCCCCCAGTTCACTGGTATGTGTTCTTATCCGGTTTATGGGGACTGGTACTGACAATGTTTAGATATGGCCCTTGGTCAATGGATTGCCTCTACACCGAAGCAGATCATTTCCGACACACTCAATCTGAGCAATGACACACTGAGCAAGCTCAAAAAGGAGAAGCAATATGTCGTCGCTGGAAACACCACTTCATGAATCACTACATACATCGATTATCCCAGCACACATCTTACATGGTCCAGTTTGAGTCACATATCATTACAGTTTGAATACTACACAGAGAGAGAGAATGAAGACACATGTCAAGCTCTGCAAATAATAACCTTCAATATTGCTCTACTATGCCTTATAAGGTGGCGGTGAATCGTCATCATTGTCAGAGTCATCGTCGCTGTCCAAACTGACATCGGAATCGACATTGTAGACAGGAGGGTGCTCATCTAATCCATGGGTAGTCTTGGATTTCAACTGAGGAACCACAGGCGTAGCAATGGCGGCATGAACAGATATCTAGAGAGACAGGTCAGTCAATACTATCTACTATCTTCATATTCCAGATTGGCCCACTTACTCCCGTCCCTGAATCGTCCATCTTGATAGCGACCGGTTCACGATCCCCGATCTTGCCAACAAGTATGCCCTTCTTCCAAACACCGTATTTGAGAATCATTCCTCTGAAATCGGACCGAGAAACAACACATTCGGCCACATCACAGTCGGTCAAGCTAGCCCTCTCAATCTGGCTCTTCGAAATTGTTGTCCCAGTAATGGTACCGCGCTTCAGCTCACTTTTATCCATGATGACTGCCTTTTTCAGGGTCGATCGTTTTACCGAACTTCGGCCTTGCAGGACACTATCTGTGATCTCGCTGCGCTTTATGAGCGCGACATCTTGGAAATTGGAGTTTTTGGCCGTAGAGCGGGACGCGTATTCCACGTTTGATAAGATGCAGTCATTCAGAACACATCGCTTCACCGATGAATTTCTGATAGTGCAGCTTTGTAGGCTGCAGCGCATGAGGCTATTTCCGTCGCCGCTGAGGAAACTGCTACTGGCGTGTGATTCGTCCATGGCTGTGGCTTTTTTGAATACTATTTTTCTCGCGATAGTGAAGGTGAATGATTTTTTTATTATTCTTGTGCTCCACGGCGGCTGCAAGGGCAAGTGTAGGTAGGACAAAATTCAAGCTTCTTTTGGAGAGAAGGAAGTGTTATATGGAGTTACTGGGGAGGTGGGGCGATACGGGCCAATTCTCACGGAACGCTGTTGCCTGTACCGTCTATATATACGAATCAATTCAAAAGAACCAACGCCATCATTTAATAAAAATGGTTACGATAAAGACAAACATTCTTTGCTCCATTTTCTAACTCACAAAAATACCAAGCTTTTCGCTTTGTGGTGATATGTCCAGCAGTCGCATGGCCAGTCCTCATTCTCAGGCATTGTCGATGGATCATAACAGCGATCAACGGAGAGCTCAATACCATACTCCCACAATTGTTCAATATCATGGCTCCAGTCATCGTCCTTCATACTCTCCCAGTTATCAAACGCGTCAGAATCGTCAAACGTCGCATATTCGATAGTACGCAATTTGGGAGCTGTCCTTTCTTCAGCAATCCAATAACTCATCTATCCGTCGGCATTCTTTGTCGTTTCTTTCAAGAAAAGGGTGTCCAAACTTGCAGGAAGTAGCCCCCCAGAGCTGTTGATGTCCGTGTCCAATTCCTTTGGATGGAATATACTTGCGGAGGTTGTTAGATGTTTCAGATGCTCCAGATTGGTGAAATCGGAGTAAGGTTTCCTTTCGCAAATATCGAGGTCGAGATACTCTAACGTATTCGAAATGCATGTTGCCAAAGCTCGTATGTAAGCTTCTGTACATCAACGTGGATCAAACCCAGGAGGAAAAATGAAATTCCAATCCTTGCCCTTGAAAATTTCTGAGGCGATCAACCAATGTGAGAATCTCTCTGAGGGTATTTGATGAAACGTCGCAGTTGAGTAGGGTCAGCTCTTTCAGGCTTGGCTTTTCTTTCAAGGGTACTCTTGACGCAAATGGTCTCGGGTGTAAGCGGTCAATTTTTGCTCCTTGGATACAAAGTTTCTCGAGATTTTCCATAAAGAATACAATTTCGTTTGCACCCAATATCCACCAGTCTCTGTTGTTGGCCTTGAATGCTGCTCCCAGATATACTAAGCTAGGTTAATGAATTCACTCACACGTATCAGAAACTACATGAAGACTTACAGGAGCGTAACCTGCGTCCAGCAATTGCAGATCCTGGTCTTATTTCAACAAGTTCGTTTCTCGGGACGAACATGCCCAAGAGCCGATTGTTTGCTCCTCTAGGACGCAATCTAAAGGTACGCTTCGCAGACTCAACGTTTCCAGGTTCTTTAGTTCAAACAGAGCATCAAGGAGTGATTCATGGACTTTGTCGATGGGTTCATGGCGGTAATGGACCTGTAGCTCCCCCACAAGGGAAGATAGTGCAGAGCTACGTTGTACCGTTTCTGCAAACACATTGACGAATATAAAATTGGAATGATGATGTGCTGCGCAAGCCTTCGAAGAGAACCTGGAAGTCGTCGAAGATTGTTGAATATGATTTCCAGTAGCTCAGTGGGAAGGTTCTGAAAGAGACGATCGATGGTCGTCATGATCAATAGGTCTGAGGCCTGCATTTGAAATATATCCGGTCAACACGAAGTCAAGGAGATTACTTGATAATATGATGACAAGCGACAAGACGACGTGGGGTAGCATTGTGTTGGGCTAGTGCATGAAGGGGCCAATCATAGATCAGGAGGTTGACAAGCCTTGATACTTGTGGCTGCGTGCGTATATACTAAATACGTATAAAGACCATTGGGGACCAGTACAATTAGACTTGATATAATATAAATGACTAGCACGCATACAGCAATATCTGATAGGTAATTGCGCAGTATTATATTTCAATTAGATAAATATAAGAAGAAATGGGCTGTCGCCAGGAAAAAATAATATACACCTCCGCCAGCTAAGCTGTCAAGTGTTCGTTCCGATAATCCAGTTCTTGACTAGATTGATTACTCGAGATCAGCGCATCCGAGAGCGACAGTGCCACCCTATGAATATGTTAATACTGCTTCCCCAAAAGGTTTTCTTCAAACTATAGTCATCACGTACCAGGAGGTTGGCCTCAGAGCAGCACTGGGGCGCATTGTCACACTTGCCAGCCTCGTAGGCGTGGCCTGTCATGGGTTAGATTGATTGAGAGCCGAACGATGTATCAAGGTAGACATACAGGCAAGACCAATGGATCCAACGATCTCGGCGGCATTAACACCAAGCTCCTCAAGGATGGGATCGACGGTGGTGTCGAGAGGGGTGGTCAGGGTACCGCAGCAGAGGATAGGCTTGATACACTTGGAGTCGCGCTGCATCAAGCCACCATCCTGGGGCATAGCGGAAACCATGCCAGCACCGACGAGGGAGAGGACGGAGAGGACGGAGAATCTCATTTTGATGGATTGGTTGGTTCGTGGTTGGGTGAAGAGAAAGGATGTTCTCTGTAAAGGATAGAAAGCTGTAGTTGTGAGTGATGTCCAAAGCTATGGAATATCTTGATCTTTATATAGATTTTGCAGTGGTATACCTAGGGCATCAATGGCTTCCGAGCTTCTCCTATTTCGCAAAATTGGGTATTGTCATCACCGAGCACAGATACTTACAATATCCGGATGTGAGCTGTAGACAATGGACTCTCCGTGTCATCGGCCTAAAGGATCTACAAAACTCTAGATAGCAGATGGTGCCCATTGAGGCAACCTAAGAGGCTGCGACCACGAGCCGAGGCGCAAAAATGCAGGAACAGTAGGTACCGGAAGCGTAGAGCGGTTCCATAGATTGAGTTGACAATGTATAAAATTCCGTGAACTCTACGCGAGTGTCTTGGCTGTCGATCATTTTTGGCTGCTCAATTGCCATGAAACTGCCGATATCACTGGTTCCAAGGTCATGTAGATGCGAAATAGCCAGTGGGTCTCCGGTTCTTTCTCTCCATCAGTTCTCCGGGAGCCCCTATCAGTGGATCCAAATATCGAGATGATCTGCGTCGGGTCAAAGTCACTATGTCGATCCGACGTAAGGTACAGGAACAGTGCATTGTTCGCCCTATTAAAAGCAAAGTCAATTGATGATAGGCGAAGCAAATATGAACTGCTAACGATCCCTGTTGTGTGCATAATTTGTCATGGCGCGTGATGCGGTTGGAACCGAAAGGAGCGAAAAGGACCCGGAGATAAGCCTGAAGTCGTTGATTGAACACTGACCAGAGCATTGGAAGTTCCACAGGCTTGGTAACATTCGATCTGCCATAGTCAATGTCGATGACTGCATAAGCGAGGCTCCATATTCTTGGCCTCATCTTGGCTTCACTTCGTTGTCGTCATGGAGATAAGCGCCTGCTGAAACAGTTACGTGAACAGATTGTAGATATCGCTTGTCTTCCTTCCGTCTGCATTTTGAGTCGATCATGTCTTGGTTGAGGCTTGGGATCAATAATTGACAATAGTCATCAACCTCATGCACCGAGGAATGTGGTCGGTGAGAAGATAAGGTCATGGGCAGTTGCAAGTCCAGACATTTTTGGTAAAATATCACTCATGGGTCGGGAATACAGTATCTCATGGCCATCTCTGAGTGAACAGGGGCATAAAGAGAATGGCCTGCTCGCCAGCAAAATGAAGACGAAGCCAAAAAATATGGCCGTCAATATGGACAGATGTGGCGGTGCTACCCAGGTGTGGCGCTCTTGTACACACCGCCACAGCCTCGCGACACAAAAAACTTCCCTCAATTAATCTCCACATTGACAGTTCGACCAACCAACCTCTCTTCCTTTTTGATTTTTTGAGTATTTGCCCAGCGCATAATACTCTATCATAATCAAAATGGCTCCTATTTCTATCGCCGACTTGGTGGCCGCCCTCCCTGCGGAGGACTGCTGGGGCCCCTCCACCTCTGCCGACAACATGCTCTCGGGCGTGCCTTACGCTCCTTTCTCCAAGGGCGACAAGCTCGGCCGTATGGCTGACTGGACTGCTGAATCCAAGGAGCGCCAGAACCAGCGTCCTCAATACAACCGCGGTTTCAGAGGTATGTCCTTTGACGGCTTTTTTTTCTGCCCCTCTGCCATTGTTGAACATCAGCTAACTTGTTGAATAGACCAGCAGGCCTACGGCGCCGGTGCCACCAACCTGTTCAGCGTTGCTACCGCCGAGGACGAGTCCTCCTTCTCCGTCGTTGACAACACCCGCACCCAGAAACGCACTTTCGGTCGTGGCGGTGGCACTGTTTTCCGTGGCCGTGGTGGCCAGCGTGGTGCTATGAACCAGCGCGGTGGACGCGGTGGCTTCCAGCGTGTCGGTGCCGCTGGTCGTGGCCAGCAGGGTGGCTACTACGACAACCGCGGCGGCCGTGGTGGCCGTGGTGGCCGTCGTTTCGGCTGGAGAGACTACGACAAGCCCCAGCGCATCCGTGAGCCCTCCGTCAACATTCGTCCCGATTGGACCATGCTCGAGGAGGTCGACTTCAGCCGTCTGTCCAAGCTGAACCTCGATGCCCCCGAGGGTGAGGACCTCGACTCTTACGGTTTCCTCCACTACTACGACAAGTCCTACGACAGAGCCCCTGTTAAGAACGCAGAGCGCAGAATCCAGGCCCTCGACCGTGCCGCCTACAACGTCACCACCTCCCAGGACCCCGTCATCAACGAGCTGGCCGAGAAGAACGCCGCTACCGTCTTCGCTACCTCCGATATCCTCTCCATGCTGATGTGCGCCACCCGCAGCGTCTACTCCTGGGACATCGTCATCGTCCACCAGGGCGACAAGATCTACTTCGACAAGCGCGACGGTGCCTCCTTCGACCTCGTCAGCGTCAACGAAAACGCCGTCGACGCCCCTCTCGAGGTCGCCGAGGCCGCCGGCAAGCAGGAGCAGATCAACACCCCCAGCGCCCTGGCCATGGAAGCAACCATCATCAACCACAACTTCGCCCTGCAGACCCTTATTGAGTCCGAGCAGCAGAAGGTCTCCTTCGCCAAGCCCAACCCCTTCTACGACGAGGCCGAGGAAACCGAGCCCCTTGCCTCAAAGGGCTACAAGTACCGCCGCTTCGACATCTCCCTGGAGCGCGACGAAGAGCCCGTCTCCATGGTCGTCCGTACCGAGGTCGACGCCGTCATGAAGGGCGGCCCCACCGGTTCAGAGGACCAGCAGCTGACTATCAAGGCCCTGAACGAGTTCGACCCCAAGGCCCAGGGCTCCGGAGGTGCCCTGGACTGGCGCAGCAAGCTGGTCTCGCAGCGCGGTGCCGTCCTCGCCACCGAAATGAAGAACAACTCCTCCAAGCTCGCCCGCTGGACTACCCAGGCTATCCTGGCCAAGGCCGACGGCATGAAGCTGGGTTTCGTTTCCCGTGTTAACCCCCGCTCCGCAGCTTCCCATGTCGTCCTGGGTGTTGTCGGCTACAAGCCTAAGGAGTTCGCTACTCAGATGAACTTGAACCTCGGTAACGGTTGGGGTATTGTCCGTACTATTGTTGACCGTATTCGCACGCTTGACTCTGATGAGCCTGCTGATAAGGTTAAGAAGTACGTTCTGATCAAGGACCCTAACAAGTCGGTGCTCCGTCTTTACAGTGTCCCTCCCACTACCTTTGAGGAGGATGATGAGGCTGAGGTTGAGGTTGAGCAGTCTGATGAGAAGTCTGATGATGAGTAAACTTTTGGATGACTTTATGTTGTTGAATGTGCATACGTACTCTACCTAAAATTTGATTTATATTGCCTGCTTCACTATACTAAATATTTCATATATGTTGAATAGAATGAGAAGTTCATTACTATCATTCCATACTACGTCAACAAGACCATTAAAATCCCCGATACATGTACATATCCATATCTACCAAAAGCTAGGTATCAATCATAGTTACACATAGAATTTGAGGACCTGTGAAATTGACGCCGAAATTGACCGCATTGGAGGCCAGAAACGGCCGCCTTTCCACCCGTAACTTTGGGCGGCGAGCCGCCGCTTGACCGCCCACCGCCCTGCACCACCGCCCAGCGCTGTTAGTTCATCCTCCGGTCCTGATGTTGGCGCTCAACCTAGTTGACTAAATTTGCTAACCCTAGCGATGGGCAGACAACTCTACGTGGTGCTGAGGATCAGTACTCTGGCAATTTTTCCGCGCCTTCTGCCAGGGGAAGCAAAGATCTGACCAGGGATCTACGCCTTTCACTAAAGCGTACCGTCAAACATCGAGAATGGCTACTCTAATGCCCCGCGGATATCTCTCTGCCACCGAATACCGTTTCGACGAAGAACAAACTGACGCCATTGTTCGAACCACCGCCTACCATCGCCAAGACTACTGTCTCTCCATGATCTGGTACTCGCCTCGTGAACACGTCGATATTCGTCCGTCAATAGCAACACCCTTCCAGCGGACTTCGAATGTTGGACTCGGCTCCCTCGACCGGCTACCCCTCGAGCTCTTGTTTGACACCTTGTATCGTCTGGATATGCATTCTCTGTTCAAATTTCGACAAATAAATCTTAGATCAAGACTGATTGTAGACTCTCAACCTGTATCAGAGGGTAGTCTCGTATGGACTGAACCTTTTCTGCGCCTTGTTACGAACACGACTTGCCATCGATATTTCTCTGCTCGACTTTTACAACGCATTATGTATCAAGGCATGCACTTTTTGCGGCGAATTCGGCGGATTTATATTCCTCCTAACTTGGAAACGATGCTGTTTTAAATGCCTCCAGGGGTCTCCGGAGACCCAAGTGCGGACTCTCGCCTCAGTCCGAAAGCGATTACAGATGACTAAAGTTGAATTAGACCAACTGAGGTCATTCAAGTCCTTGCCTGGAATATACTCGATGAATGAATCTGTACAAAATTCCCGCATTACGATCGTTTGTCTTCATCAGGCTACTTTGGCTTGCAGACGGCAACCGCATGCACTTGCGCAAGCCCAAATATCGAGCTTTGACCGAAATCAAAAATTCAACTTTATGGGGTCATGTGCACTTCCTTATTACGATAAACTAACTGGCAGAGTTGAACACGGAATCTCATGTGCCGGGTGTCAGCTTGCTCTTGAAAAAGATATTATCGGCACCAGGGGTACGAAATGGGGATACGAGACTCGAGACAAAGTGTATGCGCAAGACTGCTTCCTGGACCACTTTCGGTGGTGTGAACAGGCACAGCTCTTGTGGAGATCGAGTGGCGAAGGTAAAAACAGGCCACCCGAGCTACCTGTGTCTGCTCGGACAGGAGGCTACTTTCGCAGAAGAGAATGACAATCATATAGAGTCCATTTGTTATGTATTGCAGCACACTACCTCGTAGTGACAAAGAAGACGATACAGCTCCACAGCTCACAGGCTGTGCTTTATTCTTGCATAATTCTCCCATTTGATCCGTAAATTTCACCTCCATGGCAGAAAACTGGACATGCCACGGACTTGTCCAGGTGCGACATATTTCGTGAGTGGGCAGGATAAAATAATACTTGCAGCATACTCGTGGAGGGTGTTGGAGAGGGCCGCCTAGGTATTAGGAATTGCGCGTGATTTGAGGTGTAGAGTATTGTCTGGCCAATAATATTTTATGAACACACTACTTCTTCACTATATTTACACACTCAATCTTTCCTCTTGTTCCACGCAGACAGAATTTGTACATGGCGAAGAAGCCAAAAGCCAATTTAACATTACAACATGCAGTGCAATTGCACCTTGTTAAACCAGGTTCCACAATTGAGCTACCTCTGTACTCCGTACAAGTTGACCCCTGCATCCAATTTCCTCGGATCGTTTATGTTTTATGGCTTGTTCCTCTGATTATGCATGTTACCGGGGTTGATGCGGCCATGGACGCCAAGGGGCAGAGAGAAGATTATTGTGTTGGTGGCTTAATGTACTTAATGTACTTAGGTGAGGTTAGGGTTACATATGTACCTAGCTATTCTGTCATTGTATGTAAGAGGCGAAATGTTTAGTGTTGAAGATATCAAAGTAATACGATAGTATTATTGGTAGCCACCAGGGTGACCAATTGACGGGACAGATCAGATGAGGGGGAAACACAGAAGAAGGAAAGCAAAAATAAGGGTAGACACTCTCGAGGGTCGAGGTACACAATCGCCTAGGGGCAACGTTCACTTTATATACAACCCGCTCAACGAGTGAGTGTCGAAGAGAAGGAGATGGAAAGAGGCATGACAGGAAAAGTGGCAGAGAAAATATAAAGTAGAGAAGATACGTAATTCAGACAGTTCACAATAAACAGCCAAAGTGAAGTCAAGTCAAGTCAACGTCGAAGCCAGACCAAACCGCAAACAAAGCTCCAAAACACTCCATAAGAAAAGGAAACCACAATTTTCAGGCATAATATCATAATCGTTTTTCGTTGCTTGAATCACCAATTGCTTAGCCATACATCGACTCATCGGCTGTGCCAGACATGCCGAGATCGACCTTGGTGCCGAGAACACTGCTCAGACAATCAATCAACTCAAAATCCTCGACAACTGCGCCGAAGCCGTAGCAGCGGACTTTAGTGTTGAGGGTATCTATGATGATCTTGACGTCTTCGCGGCGGAGGGTAGTGTACAACTCGTGGTTCTTGAGGCACTGCAGGGCCATAATGGGTGTAATTTGGCCATCGGTGACGAGCTGGCGACTGAGGTTGAGGAGAGTGCTTAGGTTTGCATGCGGGAGGTCGGGGGCTTTGTGGGGGTATGGTTGTTCGTGCGTTGTTTTGGCGATGTAGCTCGGTGGTGGGCATGTTGCCATCAGAGCATGGCCTGAGAACGGCATATCCTCGTCATCGGCTTCCGTGACTGAACGGCGGCAGAGGTAGTCCGTGTGTTCGCGGCAGGGGCCTTCCAGGCTGTGGGGTGGTTAGTTTCTTTGTTTGTCAGGCTGGGCTGGAGGACTTACGTTAGGATAAAGTCAACCTGTAGTTGCGGGTCACTTTCAAAGACACCGCTTATACGAGGCATGGGCTGCACGGAATCGACTGGTGCGCATGACGACCGATCCATGCCCATGGGTTGCGCGCCTGAGCTGGTCTGATATACTTGCTGTTGAGGCGCATACCCGATTGGAGGCGACACCTCGGAGTGGGAGTGATCGGCGGTATTGTGAAGCGGGCTCATGCCAGAGGATGATATTGTGGTGGCAGGCGTCGTGTTGTGGTTGCTGACCGAGTGAGTGAAGCCTGCAGTCTGCGATGCGGATGCAGTGCTGCTGCCACCAACAGGGCTAGATTGGTAGCCGACCATCGGGGGACGCTCCGCTCGACGGCGCTCCAGATCGGCTTCGTATTGGATTCCATGTGCCGCTAAGATCTCTCGCAAGATTTCGTTCTCGTCCCGAATTGCATGAATGATCTCTCGTTGCTGCTGGGCATTCGCATTGGCCTCGGCGATCTCGGTGGTGTATGCCTCCTTCAACCGCAATACTTCCGTCTCCAAATTCCGCATGTATTGCTCCTTTCGTTCGCGATGCGTCCTAGGGCAATCAGTCCTGGTCTGTGGAATGGAAATCCGGGGTATGTACCTCTGAGCCTGGCGGTTCAGCTCCTGTCGCCTGGTCAGTGCAGGCTTGCTATCCGGCTTGGGTCCACGGCGTTTGGGCATTTGGCCATCTAGAAAGGTTGAGCGGGGTCCGGTTGTGCGAGACAGATGGAGATCAATCACCTCGGGTTGTTTTCTTGGGAGCTTGCTGCTGTCCTCCTCCTCCTCCGAACATCTTGAACAACTCCGTACCGAAACCTTTAGAAGATGGGGTGGACGGTTCCTCTGCGATCAGCTGCACCGTACACTCCGGGGCCAAGGGCCTAGCCGGAGATGCAATGGCGCAAAAAAAGTCAGTGTCAAGGTCACAAATCGAGGGGAATTAAAAGGATTGGGTGGCTGTTGGAAGGCCCGGGCCAGCGGTCGGGAAAGCCACAATCCAATCTGGATAGCTTCGGTGGCGAGACTCGGGGAACCCCGTTGAGCTTGACTCCGGGGTTCCGAGCTCCGCCAGAGTCACCAGCCAGCGCGATAATCGAGGAATCGGGGGCAATTGCGACTGTCTGCTCGATCCGCTGAGATCGAGGAGCGCTGTGACCAAGCGTTCCCCGATCGCAAAAACTCGGGCCATTTCATCGAGAAAAATCAGGCCACACCAACTGAAAAGGGCTTGGAGACCACACGGAAAGCAGATTGCAGATGAGATTGACCAGCAGATCGAATAGCAAAGATGGGCTCACCAAACAGACACCAGGGCATGCAAAATTGCACTTACCATACCGTATGGAGTGGTCCATCGGGTAGACCCCACCAGCCATGATGAAGGGATAGGCAAGGAGAATGTGTCAGTGAGAATAGAGCGGATATCGAGTATGAAGGGGAAGAGCTGAGAGAGGTGAAGAAGGGAAGTGGGAAGTGGATGTGATAAGTACGGAGGGACATCGTATAGGTAGATGGATCTTCACTTATTTTACAGTACAAACGAATTATGCAAAGGCGTTTCGATCTATCTCCACAAGTGGTACCCTCCTACTACGGACTAAATTCTACTTACAGACCGATAACCCCCAATTGCAAGTCTTAAGGGCGTTGGGGGCTGGGTAGTTACTTACATGGTACCTCGCTCTACCGTCTGATCACAGCGGCCGAGGAAGTACCTGAAAAGTACCCAGTTCAACCTTGTGATGAGTCCAAAGGCTCCTCCAATCACCCTACTACATCTCCCAATGGTTCTGGGGAGACGGAGCATTTGGACTCTGACAAATACTCTGCCAACTTGCAGAGACCGACAGGGACTGATCGCCTCTAGTCCTCCATATGTCCAATGGATGAAATTCTCGTTCATGTCACGGCCCCCAGTTCCGTGAGAGACGACGCACGCTACCGGGCCCAAGTGGCCGCTATCCTGAGCTTCCAATGTGCCTCGCGCCACCCAATCTCAGGCACGGAGGCAGATATCAGGGATCATCACTCGCATCAAGTATCCGCCTTGGATCTCCTCCCTAAGTCCCCTAAGTCAACTATCCAACACGAGGCCTCCCCAATATTCCGGGAGGCGTCCCGACCCGCATGGGAGATATTCCCAGATCGTCACTCGGTCCCTGAGGGTGAGCGCGACAATGATCTACAAAACCCGGGCGATCATCACATCCCTGGTCGAGACCTCGACTCGCTCGAGAGTCTCATCAGTGTGATTCCAGATTCTCAGCCTGAGATCGTCGCTCCAGATCCAGATCCCGATGAACTATTTGGCTCGGGTCCGGCTTTTGCAGAAATATTGTCTCCGCTGCAGGCTTACCCACTCTCCAAAAGGCGTTGCATACAGCCACAGACTCACACACAGACACAGACCCTTGATGTACAGGACCATGTTGCGCAAGTCCATGTCTCTCCTGCAGCTGAATCTGATATCACACGTCGGGATTCCCACTCTGCAACGGATCCGCCCGCTGATATCGATATCCACGCTGTGCAACATGTACATGTCGCCATAGGAGATGCTCTCAATCCCATCCCTATATCGAGTTCGATTGAGGAGTCGACTTGCGACGAGAGCAATGACTCTCCTATACCGACTTCTGTTATGCCACTTCCAAAACCCCTGACTCTCACATCCACTACCACTACTTCTACCACTACCACTACCGCTACTCCTTCCACTACCACTCTCCCTCTCCATCATCCTCCCACCGTCAACCTCACAACCCTCCCTCTTGAAATCCACGCCCCCCAACCTCCAATATCAACAGCCCCCTTCACAACACATATAACACCAACCCTATGCATGCTCACGGACCGTCTCAGGCCAGAGCGTACTTATAAGCCAACCCATCAAACAAGGGATCTGGATCCCCTGGAACGCGGGCATTGGTTTATACAGTTCAACATTGATTCATCCCAAACCCAACACCCAAGCACAACCTCAAAAGAACAAGAACAAGAACAAGAACGAGAACGGGAAAAGCAAAAAGAAAAAGAAGAAACCTGGCCCTCCCCCTCCTTCCACACATTCTGGACCTTCCTCACAGACTTCATCTCAAAAGATGGTCGAGCAGGCTGGGGCGTATGGTGTATCCTAGAACGATCTCCTCCGGCGAGAGGAGGTGGATCGACAATTCCACCGAACTCGGGCATGACAGAACCTATAGATGCCTCCGTCCCTGTTTCACTCAAGGTATATGCATGGGGCGAAGTCGCCATGCATATTTACCTTCTTCTGTTTCTTGCTAGTGAGCGAAGGATTCGGGGGATGGGGGTTCAGTGGAGGGATGCTGGGGAGGATGTCGTTATTCAGATGCCCTAAGTTAGGAGTATCCGGTATCATGTACTATTATAATGAATTTTAGCTTGGGTTAGCATCTTGGAAAGAGGTTGCTAGATGGGGCTTGTATAAATTATACCCACTATTTTTATGACTGCACGTACCGGGTGTTGGAAAAAATTTGTGATATCTGGATCTTCAATTTCTGATTTTGAAAATAGGGATATTGTACATGCTAAAGATAAAGAAGACAAGAAAAGCCCGACGGGGAAGAAGTGATAAACAACAAAAAAGAAATGGTAAAAGCGAACCTCACAGATTGAGGAAGCCATGGAAATCAGTAATAAGCAAGTCGGGGCCATCACCCTCCAGCCATCCTGCATATGCGCCGTATCGCCAGTTGAAGGATTGAAAAAGATAACTAAAGGAGAGTAAACAAAACAAGAGAATGGATAAGATCGGGAGTGGTAGATGTCAAGATTGATCTAGTAGTTCAACTCGCCGCTGCCGGAGGCGTCGACTGCGTCAAGATCCTCATAGCTCTTCAAGCTGCGGCCTTGGACGGCTTCGCGGGGTGGCATGGGTCCGCCGTTCGAGCCCATCGAGTCTGGGAATGGATTTGGCGGGACCATGTTAGCGGCGGGGTGGCCGGCTGGGACTATGGCCGGGCGACCACCGTACATGCCGGAGATGCCGCGGGGAGGGCTCAATCTGCCGTTGCCGTTGAATCGGCGACGGTCGTAGGGACCGGGACGGTTGTGACGGTGTTGGCCACGGCGCATAACGCCGGGCTGGTGCAGACCGTGGCTGTCATGGCCCATTGCATTGCTGTTCCAGCCAGCACCCATCATAGGCATGCCACCTGCGGGGAAGTTGGCCATGCTGTTGTTGGACATGTAAGGCATGCCAGAGAGGCTGAAGCCACGGGGTGTACCAGCCTGGCCGTGGCCAGGAAGGGGGAAATGACCGTTGCTGTTGGCGTCGGATCGAGATGGGGCAATGCGTGATGGGTCCAGGACGTAAGCGTTTACAAGTGCAAGCTGATAACAGGTTAGTATGAAGGATGTCATGGGCATGCTGTGAATACTTACATCTTTTTTGATACCTTCGAACCATTCGGTGTGACGCTTCTCAATATGCTTGCGCCAGAATTCCTGGGCTTTGAAAAGCTTAGTGCACTCGGGTGCCTTGCAACGGAACTTGGAGTCATCTTCCTGCTTCATATACTTAAGGAGTTCATCTTCAAGCGCATCTTCCACGGGCTTGCCACCCAGTTTTGCAAGATCAGCGTTCTCGGGTTCTAGGATCTGCAACAGCTTGTCCTCAAAAGTCTTTACCCAGTTGAAGGCACGTTGCAACTGTTGTTCCGACTTAGAACCGTGCCGCTGAGATCGCTTGTCCTGAACGGGAGAAGAGGGGTCCTCTCCTTCCTCGCTAGGTTCTTTTTTCTTGACAGGGAACGGCTGGCCAAGAGCACTTGCTCGGGCAACCTCCCTAGCCTGGCTGGAAAGACCAGTACGTGGGCGACGAAGATGTCCTCCGGGGCACTTGCGGCTAAGCTCATGAACCGAATCACTCTCGAAAACACAGAAGAAGCAGAAGTTGTAGACGCGGCGGAGGTATTCGACAAGCAGGTCCAGAGTCTTTTTCTTTGCTGTCAAGTCCTCGTCATCAACCTCTTCCTCGGCAGGAGGTTCCTTCTCTTCGCCTTCTTCAACCTCTTCCGGGTCTGAGTGTTTCACGCTGACTGGTCCAGTAGCAGGAGCCTGGAGCTCGCCCTTGCCACGCAAGTTCTCGACATATTCCTCGACCTTGCTGAGCCCATCCACGTTGCCCATTTCAAAGTCCAACTTGGTGACTAACCGTCTGGCCATTTCAAGGTCACGCTCAACTCGCTCGGGTGCAGAGAACAAATCCCACAGAGCTTTCTTGCGTGGTTGCAACGCGGGTACATGGATACCGACATGGCAGACAAAGTCGCCGTGAACAGCATCGTGAATCGTCTTGTCATTTACGGCCTCAAGAGCTCTCTCAGCAACGGGGCCTGTAGTTCCATTGGCACCTGGATCCTGATCCATATCCTCGCGCTCCTCCTCGCGTCCATCTCCTCGCTCCACGACTGTGGTGTTGGCAGAGGATGTAACATGATCCATCCCATACGATGGAACTTTTTGGAAGGGTTTGGATCGCTCAGGCTGAGGCCCTTGAAGCCACCATCCTCCTCCCCGAGATGCTCCTTGCAGAACTCCTCGATCTTAGTACGGCTGACGTTCGGCGCAAGTGTCTTGATAAGAAGGGCAGGCTGAGAGAGCGCTTCGTCACGAAGCTCTCCACCACGGACTGGAAGCAGATCCAGGACACCCATGTTTTCAGTGGGAGCCGTTGTTTCGCCTTCTTCCTTCTCAACCACACCTCCGGCACCGTCACTGTCATTCTTGTAAAGACCTTCAAGTGTGAAGTCTCTGAAAACATCGTTCTCCATATCCCGCTGCCACTGCTCATATGCAGCCTGGCGAAGAGGGAAGAGACGAGCACGAAGGGCATCACGAATCTCGGGAACATAGCGCTCTTTAAACCATTCTTCATTGCGGTGCTGTTGAACAAACAACCTGGCCAATCGGACCTGCAGATCAACCTTGTATGAATCATAAGCCGCCTGGATTTGCGCACGTTCCTTTTCGCGATCCTCGCGTGCCTCACGCTCTCCTCGAACTCGACGTCCACCGTTTTGAACACGCTCCCTCTCCTCGGTCACATTTTGCTCGGCTCTCCACCATTCGGCAAACCAATTGAATCCCACCTGGAAATCAAGGCTGAGAGGGTTTGGCATCGGGTTGGTAGGAAGGGGGCGCTTTCCGCCATCTTGTCCAGGAACATAACGGTCAATGTTGGCCGCCATTGGGGAAGGGGGCCGTCGGCGGTCTTCGCGCTCACGGGCGGCACTTTCACGAGAGCCATTGTAGAAGTCCTCGCGGTGAGTACGACGGTCTGAAGGTTCGTAGCGATCAATCACAGGAGAGCGGGAGCGCGGACGGGGCCGTCGACGATCCTGAGATGCTGCTTGATTGTCAACTTCCACATGTCTCCGAACAACACGCCTGTCACTTACCTGGAGAACGACGTCTGTAAGAATCCCCAGGGGTGCGTCCCGAGAAGGAGTCAACCTCGCGGCTTCTGCCGGGGGAAGCAAAACCATCATAAGAATCCATTGTTCCGAAGCTTCCGGTGTTATCTTCCAAAGTACGCGCCTTGGCCACAAGTATTGGTCCAAGACTGACTCTGGATGAATTAACAGGCACGGAGCAGTCTCAAGCGATCGATCCGAAAGGAGGGAGGGAGGAGCCGCGCAATAAGCTAAGATTCGGTATCGTCAACGTTAGACCAAGCAACTTCATACGAGATAGCGGTGGCGGCTAGAAAGTTCAAGGATAACAGAGGCATTGTGTTCGGGAAATAGAAGAAAGAAGGTCACACAGCTGCCGGAATGAGGGTCCCAGGGAAGGTGACGTTGGGGACATCGTGCAGCAGGTGTATGGGGTATAAAAGAGATAAATTGAAGGAGCTCGCAAGAGCCATATCAAGCAGTCAAAGATGCATATAAGAGGAGCCAACAAGCGCAGCGGTGGCAAGAAAGTGAAAGGGGATAAAGCAGGGATAGAAAAGAGACTGGGGGAGAAAGCCAAATTGAAAGAGAAGAGGGCCACCTACAAGAAGCCTGCGAAACGCGATTGATGAGAGAAGAAGAAGCCGAGGAGGTGAACAGAGCTGGAGAGAGCTTGGCGCTTTGCCCAATGGGGTAAGGCGTGACGGGGATGACTGGCAGATGCTGATTGGCTGGTTCCGGATAGGAAACAAGGCGCGTTAGCAATGTCAAATGTTCCAGTTGTGGATTGAACGAAATTGGAATCGGAGAGAGAAAAAAGGTGAGAAAGCGGATGAGCGATTCTCTACGGAATCGTCAGAGGATTATCGTGGGGATAGCGGAGTTACGAGCGAAATAAGAAAGTACCGTGAAGATGATTTATAGATTGCGGAAACTTGTGGTAGAACAGGGATGGGTACGTATCTACAATTCTCCTAGCATGGGGATACCGTTTGCAGAGTCGCTCCCGTTGACAAACAGAAGGGGAAAGTCACAGACCCGGTTCCCTACTTGGATACCTCAGTACGGTTAAGAAGCTCTTTGATAATGTCCTAGGAGATTACATAGGTAGTATGCCGATATAGGGTTGACAGCAATCATGTGGGTTGCGAACCATTACAACTTGATGAGAGTAACCCACGCGTCAATTATGCATTTGAGATATCAATTCTAATAAGGACGTGGTTGTTTACTTGGTTATATCTTCAAATATTTTGATGTCAACGCTATGGATGATCAATTACTTGCTTCCTGAAATTTGTCGTTCCTTTCCTCCATTTTCTGTTGATACACAAAATGGCCAGTTTATATAAATAAGGAATATGAAATAATCAGATTGAACGAGGCTAATTGGCATGGCATGATTGCCTCAGCGATCAGGCCTCCAAGGTTTGCTTGTTCTAAGTTAACTAGTTAATCCATACAGTAGGATTATTTAGTCTGCTGCTCCTCCATAGGGAATAATCATCAACTTCCGCCTCTCTCCTCCATAGGAACCCTCCGTCCATCAAGGGCATTTATCCGTCATGGCAAGCTTTAAGCGCATTGCCTATTTATAGACCCTGACGACGTCGTCATATAACCCCAACATCCGCCTTTCTTTGTTTCAGCAGCTATAGCATGAGACACGACAAGAGCATATACAAAATACAATCCACATATCCACTCTCGTGCACAATGATCATTAAACGACTCGCAACAAACCAAGACAATCCCCCAAAGTCGCCGCATCCCTACTCCGTATACTCCCCTCCACATCCATAAAACCCAACCTAGCCCGTTGATTGGCTCAAACCTACCCACTCGCATCACCACCACCACAGCCAACACCACTCACCCAATCCGATCTTATCCCAAAAACAATGGGCAGTCTACTCAATTCCCGCTGGGCCCCAAACACAAACCAGCCAAATGAGAGATACCAACCCCGGCACACATTCACCAATATCCACAATGTCCACAATCACAGGACAAGAAGCTCCAGCCCGGCATTCAGACCACCACCATATCAACCACCTTCACATCAACAAGGAACCCTCTTACCACCAGCAGAAGAGTTATCCCGCTTCATGAAAATTGTCGCAAGACTCCGCTGGAAACTTCCCTTCCTGGCTGAAGGCTACAGACTAGCAACGCTGACCGATGCCGTTGAACCGGGTGAAATCGTGCACGCGGAGATAATGTTCAAGATTGATTTCCATGAGTACTATGCGCTTCTTGAGCGTGCTATTGTGCATTTGCTTGCTGTTTTTAATATTTCTGTTTCGGCGGGGAGGGGTGGGGGCGTTAGTGTTGATGGCAATGGGCGCGGTGGTAGTGTCCATCGGTATCATGCCAATGTCCTGGAAGCATTACGGGAACAGTCTACGCCTTTATCTCCGGTTCTTGGGGCCGGGGTTGTTTATTCGCAGTTGCAGCGCGCGAAGGAGTTAAGGAATCGGTGGAAGACGGCTGATTTGACGGCTGAGGAGAGGGAGCGGCAGGGGGAGCGGAAGGAGGTTGTTGCGCTGGCTAGTTTTGATTTCGAGGGGATTCTTTCGGATATTTTTCTAGGCTTGGAGGAATCTTATGTGCGTGCTAAGGATCATGTTGATAAATGTATTCGGCCGGATGATGGGCCTGGGGTGGAGGTTGATGAGGAGGCTGGTTGGGGATTTATGGTTGATGCTATGGACTGGGAAGCTGTTTGAGGGGTTAGTTTGGGTTTATGTAGATACAGTATGGGCGTCGGTTGCTGGCGACTGGTGTTACCTTTGAGTTTGTGTTATCGCTTCGATGATGTGGATTTTGGCATGGAGAATCCTTCTGCTTTTTTATTAGACACCAAATGCATGATATACATGGACCGTGAACGGATTCCATTGCCCGTCTTCGCTGAACGTATCCAATAATCAGGTCGGAATTTCTATAATCAAGTAGTAACGAGACTAAACAGTCATGGAAGACTAAGATAAGGGTAAATACTCGGACACGTAACATATGGCACAGTAGTAACCTATATCCACATCGAACTCAGTCTTATAAATCTACAACCCAACATCCACCCCAACCAAACCAAAAATCAAGACTAAGAAAAGAAAGCATCAATATTCAAATTCAGAATGATATTCTTAGCACGAATCAGTCGCAGATCCAGACCAGTCCAATTCCAGTTCCAGTCTTTCGAAACCCGATTTCCCCATACCGATACCGATCTGTTTTTCCAGTGATGGAGGCCCTCTCTAATATTTCCCAGCCGGAGAGAAAGGAAATGAAACCCAATAAACCCGCAACACGAGACACCAAGAAGTGAAAAGATATAGATAAAAGAACGGGGTATTTTGACAATCCACGTGTCAAAGGTAGACCCTGGAGATGGGAGTATGAGAAAGTAGATAATAGAAAAGAGGAATGACAATCGGGAACCGTTGAGACTGGTGGACATTTGTTAGGGGTTGTAGTTGATATACAGGGAAGCCCTATAGTAGTGGATAGTTGACATCCCATACTAGAACAGACCAGACCCAATCAACAATCTCGTAACGCGTCAACAGTGAATAGTTGATATCGATTCGGATGCTTGAAGTCATTCTTGTCTTGTACACGGCACCTCCAGCCTGAGGGGAGCCATCACCGAAGGGGGAATACGAACGAAAAACAAAACCAAAAACCAATCGGACAAGAGGGGAATGAGAAGAGAATAATCGTCCCAGCGTAGCGGTTATAAACAGACATCAGGAGCAAATTGTGAGATCAGAAGGGAAAGGGGTAAAAAGCACATCAAGGGGCATAGAGCATAGAAACAGGTGATCCATACACATCGCTCGCTAGAGAAAAGGTCCGAGACATCCATCCATAAAGCCGTGACTACAAATGAAAAACAAAAGAAAAAGTATTCACTTCACTGGACTTAGACGTCTAGGTTAGGACGTCTTGTTGGTGATATGAGAGGTTGACCATTCAACCATCCTCATCCGAAGCGTCAGCAGAGTCTTGCTCACTACCATCAGCGCTGGCGGTCGTCTTCGTCTTCTTGGAGCTCAAGACGTCGTCATGGACTTCGCTTGACTTGCGCTTCTGTCCGGCGCCATTCGCCTTTGCCAGGTCCTTGCTGATATCCTCGAAAGTGGCGGGTTCGCCAGCCTCCACGCGCTTCTCCATGGCGGCAACCTCATCTGCTGTCAAGAAACGGCCACCGGGCCCACGGGGTCGGCGCATGGCATGGTTGTGTCGTGACTCATGGAGATAAGGCTTGCGACCCTTGGACGTCAAGCGCAATTGCTCTTCGAGCTTTTGACGTGCTACTCTGCGCTTCAAGATGCGGTGGAATTGCTTGGCGTTGACGTACAAAGGCGACTCTTCTTGGTTGCTATTCGGGACCATGTCCGGGGAGGCCTGGTTCTGTACGGCTGCCTGGGGTAGCGGGGGTGCGATGGAGGGTCGGCCAACGTGACTCATCACCTGTGCGTTGGGGGCATTGGGGCTGCCGACATGGCTCATGCGACGTTGTGATAGCTGCGGGTTCGGCGGCATCTGGACTTGTGATCCCATTGGGGGCATCTGTCCGCCCATCTGGGGAGACCGGGGATTACGATCCTGTTTCATCTGCATGCTAGCCATGCGCGGTGAGCCTCGGGGTCCTGGCGCCATCTGTCCGGCCATGGAATCCTGATGCATGGGGTAGAACTGTCCCGAGGCAGCAGCGGTGGCCATGGCGGCGGCCTGCGTTGGTGAGATGCCATAGCCCTGGGGCATACCCGTAGGGACACCGTAGCCCTGAGGGAAGTTCATCTGTTGGTGAACGGCCCCGGAAGCATTCTGAGCTTGTTGATAATGCGGTTGCGATGGGACGATGGGAGAGGTCTGGTGGGCGGAGTGTGGTTGAATAGGTGCCTGGGCGTTGGTAGGCGATGCCATGGACCCGACAGGAGGACCAGCGTTGGGCGCGCCGGTTTGGTAAGGACCAGGGATGTGAGAGGATGCGTGGGGATGTTGCCCATGAGACTGTTGATACTGTGGGGGGTACTCCATTATGACAGAATGTGATAGATTCACACGGCGTGCAGCACTGTTTCAGAGATCGATCTAAAGTGGCGATAGATTGAAGTCACCAATCAGACCGAGCAGATTGAGTTAGAGTCGCACGTCAAGACGGATCAAGGTTGACGGGGACGTTTGTTTGGTGTAGAGCGATATCGCGGGGCGCGCAATGAGGGAGTCACCACAAGCGTAAGGCTATGCGGCTAGTGATTCGACGATAGGTCTGCAGGGGGTCTTCGCGTCAGCCGAGCGCATCGCCGAGCGGTCACTGGATTGGGTGGGGGTATGGAGAAGAACAACACAGGGACCAGGCACGTACAAAGGTATTGGCCTGTCGTCAAAGGAAACTCTTTAAGCGGGCCTGTGAGAATTATCTCGAACGGCGGTTTTGGCTCTTTTGTGCAAATCCACACGCCCACTGTCGGGTGTAACGTGGTTGGGCTGTGATGCAGTGCCGGGGGTACCCCTCGACGCGATGCTTGATGCGTTGTCAAGGACCTGATGATGCCACAATGTGGTGGCTACTTCCAGCACGGTCGGCAGGCTCACACAATTCCACTGCCACGTCTGTAGAATCTGAGGCGGTGCTGACTTGCAACCTTGATGTCAGACTGCGCCTTTAGGCTCCGCGCGAGACTAGAGATGAAGGTTAGCATTGTCCCTTCTGGCCAATCAACGCGAGAAGCCAATGATCGGTGCGTTGTCCGGAGAGCACCCAGGTGGAGGGGTGTTGGGATTCCAAGGCGGGTTAGACCAAGGCTTGGGGCATGTATGCGTTGGCAGTAAAGCTACATACCTTTTGACTTCTGCAGGAGCAGATGAAGATTTGAGGCAAGACTAGATACGGCTCAAGGGCGAATCAGCGCGACTAGATGTATGTTAGTTGCGACTGGATACCCACGAGGGATGATGTAAATGTCAGGGACGCGTGCAGGGAGAAACACAAAGCGCGGGTAAATCGGAACCAATAAGAGAGGGGAGGAGATAGATAATAGTCCAATCCCACACGCGTTGTTTTGGGGAGCTCGTTACCTTACTAGGCACGGTGGAACAGATTGGACAGAGATAATCTCCGTGGAAGAGATCCAAGGTTGTGATTTGACCAGAGATTGGGGGAATCGTGCCAACGAGGTTCTGTGCGTGTCACGGACAGTTCCGCTCAATAGTAACGAGGCGTAAAGAGTGTAAAGCAGTGTAATGGGTGTAATAGTGTAAAGTGACATATAGGCATAGACAAATAACATACGCGTCTGGGAATCTCAAGCATAAATGCAATTCAAATATCTTACCTTCAAATTGACACCTGAGGTAGTAAGTACAGGGTTACCCCCGACGAATAGTGTTAGAAAGGGGGCGCTGTGCGATGGTTGGAGGACTGAACAGGAGCGGGCAACCAACGAGAGAAGGCAGAAGAAGGGAAAGGCGAAAAAAGGGCGGATGGGGCAGTCTTGTAGGAGATTGACTGGCCGCTGTGGGTGACCGCCTTGCCTAGTGGATCTGTGAGTGGCTGGAGCGGGATACTGCCCCATTACTAAATATTACTGGCCGATCTGGCGTGTTTGGGCACTCAAAATGGCCCCAGTGGTAAGGCTGTGACCATACGGTATGTTTACCATCCGGCAGTCCCGAGGCTGTGAGACCATGACGTATGTTACCAGTATTCAGTAAACCGTCAATACTCGCCTGATATCGCGATATCACGGGGTTTATACAAAGGCAATACTGATATCCCCATTCACGGAGTGCTCCTTCATTTACTTAACTGTTATGTATCAGCTGTTTTTCTTTTTCTTTTCCTTTACTCGGCTCTCTGTCCTAGTCGGGTAAGTATCCTCCACCTTATGTCCCATTCGAACCATGATCCTTGCACTCAGATACTCAGAGACGAGAGAACTTCTCTCTTCTCTCTGCGTTCCCCCTGTCACGATACTCGTCACAGTCCCGAAATAGTGTGATGAGATACGGGTGGCGGTAATGAAACCTCCTGGGCGCCAACATTGCAATCAGGGCGGAGTGACGGCGTTCTTGGACCTTGGAAATGTCGATCTGGCGCCTTACCTTCTCCTGATATACGGCTTATTTTCCTGGAAAAGAGAGTAAAGTAAATGATAAATGAAGTCATGACGCAATCCGTTTACCCGAACTAATTTTATGAATTGGCGGTCGAATGCTCACCGATTATTGACATCTCCACCTCCCTCGTATTCGATTCGAGGCTCCTGTAACCCGTTGAAAGTACACCACACATATTATGTAGATGTATAGATGTATACTCCTATCCACGCACATTCTAGTCCTGAACCGTCATTTTAGTAGCATCCATGGGCCATTCAGAGGCGAAACCGCCGATTCGCAGGAACAGATGGGTCCGATCTCCGGACCCCACGTGTAGAAGCTTGACCGCCTCGGAACCATAGAGATCCGAGCTTCATTGTCTACTGTTCACCGTTACTTGTGAGGAACTTATATAGCCATAACTACCATTTATAACTTTGGCTTCTCTTTCAAGTCCGTGTTCAAGCCTATTCAAGTGTAATTGTAGTCTTGGCTGATGAGCGGCTCCCGTACTCTGTATCAGAAATATATATATCGTAGACAACCCCAACAATAGCATCAACTAACCTTTATCTATTATCAGCGTCAAGATAGATTTAAAATAAACCAAAGCCAC